AAAGTACTTTTAAAAAGCAGGCTCAATATTTGTATACATTAGCAAACCTCTGTTGAATGTATGAAACATAAAATCGAAACTCAAAATTCCCCATTTCATCGTGCTGCTTTGTTGACAGCATTTCCGATTCACATTGACTTTGTTAAAAATATGCATTCAGGCGTTTACACTGATCTGTATAAACATTATGTAATCTCTGAAACAGCCAGGAAAAAAATTCTCCATGGCGCTGTCACATTTACCTTCTCCATTTTGGCCAATTGAGTCGTGATGGAGGCGTACGTCTGTGCAACATCACAGATGCAGAGACTGGAGAGGCTTTGCTGGCTTGTTTCTCACTATATGAGAACGAGCAGTGAATGTTAACTGTCCCAAGGCACACATTTCAATGCTGAAAATCAACGTTTTTCCTCTTTAATGTTGTTACTTCTGCATACTCAAGATGACATGTCTCCCCGAAGACTAACTCATTACCTTTCCCTCCTTGTCAACCATCCCAGCTAACAGCAAGCTGACAAACTGTCCTTTGGGCTGTTTAACTCTGTCAAGCTTCCAGCACATATTAGTCTTGTTTTTGCAAAAACAGCCACACTGCTTCATAGAAATCCCTACAACACATTCTGCATCAAAACCTTTTAAAACTGCCTGCTCTCCTTTTTAGCATAACACAGATTTCTCAGTCTTAATTGGATAATAGAATACTTCGTTCTGGGTTGGACTCTGCATTATTGCATCATGCCCTAAGATTTGTTTATTATGTAATAGTCTAAGAAAAGACCACAGCAGCCCAGGAAGGCCCCAGCTTGTGTAAAAATAGAATGGAAGGCACAAAACGATCTGGTTATATTTAGCAGCACTACACCATCCACTTCTTAAAATAGCATGAGAGATGTTTCATATTCATACTAAGACTATGCCTTGTACTTGCCAGGACGTTTCTATCTCTATATTTTCTGAGCTGAGTGGACAGACGCTGCCTTCTGCACGGTTAGTGTATGTTTGTGTGCTGGCTGCAGGCTTTTGGAAGTGCATGTCATCAAAATTTTACGCACTATTCCTTATTCCATTACTCATCACCACCTATTTCAGCATGCAGGCATTTCGTAGTTGATGAGCTTATAAGGGGGAGCGTGGGAAATAAAACTGGCAGAAACAGCAGCTCTGAGACTCAAGTAGCTCCCCATGTCGGTTCAAGTGATATTAGATTCCTGCTGAGCTTGTTCAAGTCTGCTTTATTGCTTTAGAGTCTCGGTGCTCAATGCAGGTTGTCCCTGTAGTGAGAAAAGCTGGGACGTGTGATTCCCTAAAAGGTGCATATTAAGAAATAAATTTTTTGTGTCAGATAAGATGAAGTGGGGTCTAATGGAGCTATGTAAAAAAAAAAAATGATATGCTACAGGCAGGACACAATTAGCTTAGCATAGTAAGACTGGAAATCAAATGTGTAATTAAGAGTAAAATATATCTTGTATACAAATATTTGAGCTGTGGTTTTACAGTTACTTGCTGGATTATTTTTTGGCTGGTCACACTGACTTCCTTAAATCTCTGCTCGTTGCCTGGAAAACTCATGTGATAACAAGAGGTGCTGACTTTTGTAACCAGCTAAGCTAAGCTAACCGCCTGCTGGCCCTATATCTTAATATTTAGTGTACAGACGTGAGAGTTGTATCAATATTCTCATTTAAATCTCAGTGAGGTATTTTCCAAATTGTTGAACTATACCTTTACCAGAATATGGTGCCATTTATTCCTGAACCAACTTCTTCATATTTAACCAACAGAAAATAAATTTTTCAAGATCAACCAAGGAATACCACAAGGAACAATTCTGAGACCTGTTTTGTTTAATCTCTACATGTTACCCCTAAATCTCATCCACTAACACAACATCTCTTTCCATATTGTCGTTATGCAGACGATACAGAGTTATACCTCTCATTCAAACCTACCGACCTTAGTAAGTGGCTTTACTACATAGCTGCATAGTTGATGTAAAAGAAAGAAAGAAAAAGGATGTGTTATAATGTTTTAAAATCTAATTCTGATGAAACAGAGGTCCTGATGAACACATTATTTAAGTCATGTTTTGTCAACTGTGAAATACAAAAAAATTATAACAAAATAGATATCAATTCTCTCACATTGCGTGTTAAATTTTACATTGCAACCTTGATTTCATTCTCAATGCAAATCCCGATAAACAAATGCTCAAAAACAAAATTCTGTCATTTAGATGTCATTGTGATGCCTTGCTTATTCGTCTGAACAGCTCCAAATTTTGCAAAATTCAGCAGCCAGACAACTGACCAGAAAAAAAGCTATTTTCACACATCACCCAATTTTGGCTTTATTGCACTGGCTGCCACTCTTAAACTATGATTAATCATATACATGGGCTGGTTCTGGAGTATGTAAGTCAACTTCTGACCCCTTAGTGTCCTGACAGGCTTCTTACATTTTCCAATTTGTGTCTTTGAACTGTTCCCAAATCCAGATTAAAATCTGAAGGTGAGCAAGGTTTGGCTGTACTAGCTGTACTCTAAAGCAGCTGTCCACTTAGCATCTGGTCGGCTAACAATGTCTCTGCTTTTAACTCTCGTCTATAATAGCTTTTCTGGCCTTTTAGCCTTTTCAATTCTGTTTATGTAGGTTGTATTTCTTTGTTGTGGTTTTATTGTATGATGTTGTTACATTGAGCAACAATATACATAAATGTATATTTTATTTTCATGAAAGGTGCTACACAAACTAAGTCAACTAAGTCACAATGCAATTTTAGTTTCCCTACCAGCCGATGTCCACTCTGCAGTCCTTTTTTTCCTGTGGTAGTGATTTTGTGCTATAACATTAACCTAGCATGCTTAGAGTGCCAATTAAAGTTTCTGATTATAGCTTCAAGTAGGAGGCGAGCACAATAATATGATAACTCAACATGAAGCTAAAAGTCATATGCAGATAAACATACGGAGCAGATAGCAATGAGTGCTCATTAAAATCTTGGACAGGACTGGAATGAGGAAGAGAGAAAAGTCTACTGGCTGTAATTAGCACATTGTCACTTGTTACAAAGCAGCCCACATTCTTAGCATGTCAGATCACTTCCCAACAGCAACAATGATTGTTTTGTTACTATTCTGAAGCGTGTAACATCTGTGCCAGATAAGAAAGCAGAAATTTAATAATGAAACATTGGACTGTGTATTACACTCACACACGCACATCACTTCTGCAGCTCTTACTGAGCAGTCAGACCAACAAACCACTAAATAGAGCACGCAAAGATTCACGTGATGTTTTTGTGCATCACGTTATTTTATATGGATTGTAAATGTGAAGGTCTGATTTCTTGTACCATAAAGCAGATGGCACCATGATGCTTTGTTATTTCTGTTCTAGAAAAGCCATGTACTTGCTTTGTTGACTCTCTTGACACTCCACACAATGTTAAATAATGAAGCATTGATTCCATAAAATGTGATCATATAAAGAATGTCAGTGTCATATAATGTAAAAAGTAAAAGGGCTTTGAGGAATCCTTCAACCGTAAACTCCAGATGGCTCAATGTGACTGAGAAGCCTCTCATTACAGTATATGACAGGACTTCTACCAAAATCTCACTGCTTCATAAGCCCAAACCCCTTTGGATAAACTAGAAAATCCATTACATCTAAATACAGGCCCATTTTTATTAGTTCCTGAAACACTGAGATTTTAGAGATACAAAGTTTTCACCAACAGTCAAGAAATGCATTAAAACTGAAACTTGTTTACTAGCAGCCAGAGGTCATTAAATTAAGTTTTACCTAGCAGACTTTTCTGTACCAGCCTGTTGTTCACATCAGCCTGAATGTACTAACTACTGAAGTGCATTACTGCCCTTCTGCTAAAGGTTTAGGTTCAGGATTCCAATTCAAGGTCCTTCAAAGCACACAATTTGTGAAGTTGTGTTCTTTAAAAGAACCGAAAGCTGAATAAAATAATTACAGACACAGCACACCTCCTCCCTTTCTGTGCATGCAGTGTGTTGCAGTGGTCCTGAGCTGATGCCTGGGGTGCACAGGGCCGAGCAGCACAACGAAGTGGGGAAAATATTGACAAACTGGGGTAAATGCCATGATGTATGTATTCACAGTGGAGGAACTTCACTTTAACACATCATGAGCCACTAGTAAACGATGTACCAGGTTAATGCCAATAACCCCTATAATTTCCAATACGCTATGATGCTCAGTGATGGACCACATATCCGGGCTGCTAACATGAACAAATAGTGGCTTGCTGGCTTTCATTATTTATGTCCTGGAGTTTTTTTTTTTTTCACCTGAACGCACCATTTAAGGATAAGGAAACTATATAAGCCTATTTGAGACCTGTTTTTAAAGATTTCTGTATTCAGTATGAACCAATGGGCTTGAGGCTGAGTGCCACAAAATGTACTGAGATACTGACTTACACATTGTTTATTTTAGTCTTTTAGTGGCATTTGTTGACAGTAATAAAAATATATAATAAGACCTTATCCTTTAAACAACCGCCTGCAATAGGTTTTAGAATACTGAGCCTTCAAAATACACAATTTTGTGATTAAAATGCTGCATTTCTCAGCCACATTTTGGGGAGTCTTTGAAAAAGGACAACCTGTCGCCTTGTTATAACGTATTAGATCTTGAGATCCACACTATAAAGGTGTAATGGTGTGACGTACATCTATTCCAGCTTGCTGGCTCTATCTGAACATATTTTATTGGCATTGTCAACCAAGACAGGTGCCTATCAACATGGAGAGTGTCTGTAACAAGAGAAAATCGTATTTTTGTGTTTTACAACAGCTCCCATACAAATGAACATGTTAATGATACATAACACTATAGATATTTTTTCTGAAACACTTTAAAGACATTTTAGGCACCCAAATGTCCTTATTGGCCCTGCAGACCCAGTTTAAGTTTAGTTTCTTACATCCTGAACACCCAGTGATAAACCACAAACAACAAAAAAGGTTTGATATGAATATTTATTTAAAGACTTAAATTCTTACAGAAATAGTCATTTTAAATCAGTCTTTAGTGGCATACATATTTCCTGTTAGAACAGTAAAACCTGTGCTGTCTTGCAATAACACTAACCTTAAGAACTGATTTTAAGTAAATATTATGTATCGATGGACAAATCATTTTGATTGGTCTTTTCGTGTAATCACAAGCATCATGCAGAAGCCATGAATCACTCTTTAGAGATACAAAATGAGGGCTGATGAAAAATAACAGCTGGATTAATGAAATTGGGCTTATGAATTGTTTCAGTTTATGATAAAATATAGAACTGTGTAGCGAGACAGCCCAGTTGTTTTCAAGTTGGTTCTCCCGCCTATTCACATTATTCCAACCACTGGGTCTGAGAGAACAATGCTGAAATGAGTCCGATGAGAGGCTGCGTACCAAAAAAAGAAAAAGAAAAACCAACCAGAAAAAAATAACCAGTTTTTAAAAGAAACATCTGAAGGCATTGCACAATTCCAAGATTGATCAGTGAGATTTTTAAGGCAAAAAAGTTGTCTAAAATACTCTGAAATAACTTGTAAAGATGTACAATTTTTTTTCAAACCAACTGGTTCCTCTGTTTGAAAAAATCTACACATGCTTAAACTTAATGCATGCTATAAAAAACATCAGAATAAAACAGGATATTCATCACAAGCATTCAAATAAACCACGTTGTTAATATAAGGTACAGTAAACAACTTTCATGTTGTATGTGTGAAGATTATGTGGGCGTTCATATGGCCTGGCATGCTGACATGGTACCGCCTTGGCAGAGTGACATGGATGCAACGATGAGCGGTGGGAGGCAGCGAGGTGTAAGCCTAATTCATTAAGGCTTGTATGTCCACCGGTAGCGTGCTGGTAGATTTTTTTTTTCCGCCTTGTAGTCTCCTACACAATAAATGCTTTTGATTGTCACACCTATGCTGACACAGCCTCAGAGGAACAGTAATTTCACACATTGCAGCCGCACGTGACCAACACATCGGTAAATGTTAAGACTTCCAACTCCACTGGGTTCTTATGCAAACAGCATTCATTTCCTTTTCCTGAGGGCAAATCCATCTAATGCAAGCCATGCTGTCATATCTATACTGCGCTCTATGATGCAGATAGAATGTAGTTGTATGTTGTAGCTTTTATTGTTTACCGTTTGTTAAACCCCTCTCCCAAACAGTAATTGTCCAATTATAACTAGCAACCATAACTAGGTCTGTCAAGCTTTGGATTTTTCTATATGTTATATGCAAGTAAAGACTTTGGAGGAGGAGCGTCTTTTTTTCTAGCTTTTCCAAAAACAAAAACAGGAGAAAAGCATAAGAAAGGTGTAAATGTGGTTGTTTATCTGAGCTTCTGTTAATAGCAAGACCAACTAATTAACTTACAACTTACAGTACTAACCAAGCATTATTTATATGGCCAAGGAGTACATCACTACATTAGTTTATGGAGTTCCATAGTTTACACTCAATTTCAACCTACATTACCTCAAGATAGCGACATACGTTTCAAATATCGGTTAGCCTTTAGAATGAACAGTAATTTTAATGTTACTCCTGTATTGTGATAAAACATACAGTTTTAAAATAGGCCTACAAGTATGTAAGCTAACATCTTGTTTACACCACCTGTGTCTGCATGGCGCGTGCGTGGAGGAATGTCTTGATTTTTATTTTGGCGGCCATGTTAACAAATTAGAGTGGATAGCTGCCCGCCTCACGTGCATCTCAGCTGCGTCTGCAGCAACGCTTCAATAGAGAGTCGAGGTTTGGCCTATTTTTACTGCAAGCTGTGCACGTCTCCCAGCAAGAAAGGATCTATTGGTAGTCATATCCACATATTTCAAGACAGTTTAAACTTCTTTTACAAAGTAAAAGCACTGTAATAATCTTTTATTTACGACTTCACTTGTGAAAGAATTTTGGGAAGTGAGCCGGCTATCTCTCTCTCTCTCTCTCTCTCTCTCGCTAAACAAACTACATGTGACAGTTTCTAGTTACCATTTCACATTTATGTTTAAACTATATATATATATATATATATATATATATATATATATTAAATTGTAAATTAAATGATATAAAAATATTACTTTTTCATGGACATACAAAGGAAAGTGTATGAAGAAACATAGGTTGGCAGCAGCAGCTCGGCGGCCTATGTGAACGAGACTAATGCTAATTTTTTTAATTTCCATGTCGACTACATGGATCATCGACTAGTAAGGATACTAACTTTTTGCCTGTGACGTGCTTTAGTCTGAGTCTTTTAGCATTATAGGATGTAGCCACTAAGTATATAGCGTAGTACATCAGAGGCAACCTTTTTAAGACAACTCATGGAGCTAACGTTAGCTAAATTAGCTAGGTACAGTTAATAATAACTGATAGTGACAGGTGTCATTTCAGCTGGCAAAAGTTTAGTGAAGATTGAATTGGTTTTAATACTGTTTATCATCATTATCTCAGTTAAAAATGTTAATGATTTTTGAAAATTCTGGCCATGGCCTAAGGACGGTGTGCCAGGAGTCCATATTTTTGTGTATAGGATTTAGCTGCATCTATCAGTGAAGTTTCAAATTGCCACTAACTGAACACTGCTCGCATCTGTTTTTGAAGACCTGGGAATGAGAACGTGCTGTGAAGTGTGTAGGAGAAATTACAGGGGGAATTCCATGGAAGTACAAAAAATCTGGCTCTTGTGTGTCATGATCACTATGTGTATTTTAATGAACAGCTACAACCAGATGCAGATTTAAATGTTCTAAACATTTTCTATTATCAAAATTATAAATTTCAGTCAGAGTCATGGCAAAGATTTTTTGTTTCTATATTATCTGTTTGGAGTATTTAAGTTCTTGGAATTGAATACTGTATATGCCATTCAAAAATTCCCCTAACACCTTGACATCCTGGACCGAAAATGTGGTCACAAGCCAGAAAAGGTTGAGACGCCCAGCTTTAGGTGCTGGTACTAAGATAAATATCAGGTCTATGAAACCACTGTTTCTCTGAGAAAACAAGCAAGAATCCCTTAATCTTCACTCAGCCCTCGCCTTGGTATGTAAGTGTCATGCATGTTTCATATACAAATACATGTTCTGGATGTACAGTATATATGAAAGTGTGGGAGTAAGATGAAGTTGACATCTTGTCGTGATAAATAAATGAAAGGCTCTGCCTTGTGTTTCAGGAGGAGAGTCACAGAGTCACGGCAGTTCGCTGCAAGTCAACTCTCCAGAAAACATACATACAGTATATACAGAATATATATATACATATACATATAAAATACTGTTCCTGCCTGATCTGGTCTGATCTGGTTCAGTCTGGTGATGCTCTAGTGCAACACCAGACTTGAGACCAGTGCTACATTGTGCAATTCGACATCCCCGCTGTCGTACGGGGTCCCCGCAATGAAATTACAATACAGAAGAGTACAAAATCTATCACACCACCTGTCCCCACACTGAGGGACCCTATTCAGTCAAACTGAGTTACCAGCTTTTCTGGAATGAGTCTTAGCCAACAATGAGACGCTACACTCAAATTTGGCGGATAAATGTTGCTACGGAGTGTACTTGATCACCAGGTCTACTTTTAAACATCTTGAACACATGAAATATACATTATTATCTGACCATTCGCTTATAAAAAAATACAGGCCTGTCGTTCATGATTTAAATATGAATAACATATGTATAAATATGAATAAGGCCTGTTAGTCATGATTTAAATATGATTACAGGCCTCAGTATAAAATGTAATACTTATATCAGCAGTAGAGAAGCAGCATTACACATACAGTATATTGACCAATACACAAAAAAGGCAAACATTTGTACAGTGTATACATTTTTACAAGCAGTTTATAAGTAGACGTTCATCAGCCAAGAAGTATATGATGATTCTGAGGTGCAAGTTTAGAAAAATGTTGTAAACCTTCTTGTACATTGATTCCTTGACTGAATAGGGCCCTAAGAAGTACTCATAAGATCTACAGTTTGTAGTACACAGACACAGAAAAAAATGTATAAACACTGTTCTTCATACATTTACATAAGTTAAAAAGGGCCTCTCGATACGGTGGGTGGCTGTAGCTTTTCTGAGTTTGTGCTTTGCGTAAGGTCACACTATAAGTTTTTATAAACACATTTCTGGGCAAAACAGCAGGGTTGCGTTTGAGTTCACCCCGAAACTTGGCTAAAAGTGACAGTGCAATTACCTGTTTTGGGTTTGAGTATTTCCCCATTTTTAAAGGAATACTCCCCAGAAAAACTAAGTTTTGAATATTAATATACTCACTACCTAAAGGCTTTGGAACATTTGTAGTGTGCTCTTATACAGAGGACAGCAGCTGTGGTTAGTTTGGATTCACAACAGTAACAATGGATTCAAATAGTAACCAATAGTAGTAAAATGTCCACAGAAAGTGAAAAGAAACAGGGCTTGTTATCCACATGATGGATTTAAAAAGCTTCTATTAACATTTAATGCTTTTTTCCTCCATGAAACAGGGTTATTATTAAACTGATAATCAGACTGCATTGCCATTTTGTTTCCATTTCAATTTTCAATTCAACAATCAAAAACAAATCTACCTCATCAGGACTGTGTCGGTGTGGTTTGATCAAATTGAATTGACAGAACTGGCAAGATAATATAGGATACCACAAAACACATTTTGATTCAAATACTGAAAAAAACAGAAAAATAGAAAAATCTCTCTGGTGAAATAACCAAAACAGTTCAAATTTGAAAGAAACACTGTGTCCTTGTATAACTCATTGTTACTCATAGTAAGAGGCTGACTGAGAAAATAGGTTTTCATGGCTTTTAACTTTTGACACCCATTAATCCAAGATAATGCAGAAATTCAACTTACAACTTGTATAGCTGTGTTGATTTTGTCCTAATTTGGAGGTTGTTTTTCTGTGGTCATTACATCCCCATTCTTCTACAAAACACTTTGGGGCTTGGTTGTTTGGAAAAAAGTGTTCAATAAGCATAAAACATACAGACATATATTGCTGCAAAAAGGGGTGACCCATTATGAAAACAGGGAAACTGCCCCTGAAATCCATTGTAACTGTTGTGAATTTAAGCTGAGAACAGAACTAAATACAATTCAGAGCCACCCTTCAAGCCTTTAGGAGGTGAGTGTTTGAGACTGAAAACCATTATTTTTCTGGGGACTACTTCTTTAATTCCTAATGATTACCTACGTGCTACACAACTTTAGTGGTTACTAATTATTACTGGCTTCAACTTTTACTGTTAAAAATGCTGTTGGACAACATTGAAATAAAACCTGTGCTCACAGTCTGCCCAGATCCATATGGGTAGCTGCTAAAAGAAAAGCATCTTTGCATTTTGGTCTGTTGGTTAACTGTTTTCTGTGCACATATTCACAACGTGTTGCTAACAGAAACGTGTGAGTCACCTGATCTGATAGCTACCAAAGTGCTATAATTTGCAACCTACAGTTTGGCAAATATTTTCTGAATACTTGGTGAGAAAGGTAAAACTGTGAACTCTACAGACTTACCAAAAATCACTGACACACTAAGACTTTGTTATTTAAACTTTTTTTTGTTTTTGGCAATACTGAACAAAGTGAGAGGTAGAGAGACGTAAAACGACACAAAAAATGCTTCTGAAGTACAGTGTTATTCCATGAAAACAAAGAGACTCTAAAACATAACACACAGTCAGGTTCGGTAGTGAGATTTGTGTTTTTGACTTCTGGGCTTGGAGATCCACATTTCCAGAACCCATGGTGGACACGGTGTCTGTGAATGTTATCTGACAAAAGAGTAAGGCTGGTTCAAGTCCCTGCTGCATTTCATTTGACCAGACTCCTAGGGAGCACAGCTTCCTTTTGAGTCAAGGCAGGTGGACGGAGCAGAAGGTAGAGGAGCGTGGGAAGATTTCAGTTAGGTGATGGGTTTGCTCTTAATGGAACATGGCATTGGTTGTGAGGTGGTAGTGGGGAGCGGGGGGTTGTGTGGGAGGGACAAAGCCCTGAGTGCAAGACAACAGTGCATGCTTCTTTTAAACTACCACATGCTCCATTTATAAAAAAAAACACACACTTCATACTGAAGAATGTGGCACCAGGGCCTAAACGTTTTTGTACAAAGTCACAATCTCCAGTTTCTGCAGCTGAAAAATAGGAATCTGAAAGGTTTTCACATTGATTGGTATAAATTTCCTCCTGGAAAAAAAAAAAAACTCCTCTCCAGTCCTCAATTTTGTAAACATTTATATATCGAGAGACATGATTTTGTGAAAGATAGAGAAAGTGAAAAATAGAAATAGCAAACAGACGAGCAGGATTTCACAAAAGGGCCTCCCCAGTTTGGACCCTTGCAGTCTGATTGCCATGAGTGGTCAGTTACTGTCCTGTTCACTCTTCCTGATGCAGGTAGGTGATCTCAGACCGCCACCACAACCCCTTCAAAACCCACACCTTCGAAGTCCCTGCTCCTAGAAAGTGGAAGCGTCCCACTTGGGGTTATCCGTATCACGCTCAGGCTCATGGCCAAACGTTCTCGAAAGTGAGCGGGCGAGGTTTGCCGTGTGCTCAAAAGCCTCCAGTGAAGAGCAGGAGAAGAAGAAGCAGAGAGAGGAGTAGTGGAGACCAGTTGAGTCGGCTGGCCGGCATTGGAGCGAGGCCTTTAGATTCTGCTTACCCGTCTGGTGAGGAGGGGGTGGATAGCAGGTGGTGGACAGGGGGTGTAAGGAGGTGGCAATGGGCCTGGTTTGATCCCTCGGGTCCTCATGTAGGACAGAAACTGGTCTGGGATTTCAGCAAGCACTTCCTTAGCCAGGCGAGCCATGCTGAGGATGTGGTTTCCCCGCCGGTCAATGTAGTCTCTGAAAGGAACAAACTGCAGAGGAGAAGAGAGGAAAGGAAGAGAGGAAAGGAAAGGTGGAGGGGAATAAGGACAGGAAAGGAGAAGAAAGGAGAGGAGTGGAACAAAGGAGATGAGAGGAAACAAGGAGAGGATAAAAATAAGAGGAGGAGAGTAGAGAGGATATGTTAGATAAAATACCAGGCAATAGAAAGTGAAAGAGAAGCACAGAATGAAAAGGACACAGAGGAAAAGGTGAATATAGTTTAGAGGAGCGAGACGGTGGGAAGAAGATAGAAAAATGGCAGACTGAGAACAAGAGCACAGCAGAGGGTCAAGCACCATGACCTTTTCCCATTAATCATAAATCCCACATTTCTCTGAGGACATTCTGCTGAGTGAACAGTCTCACAGCTAGTCAGCCACGTCTGTACCTGAACAATGTCCCTCTCTGCATATCGTCCTTGGGATGAGATCCTCTCCTCGTCCCCGTCCAGCTCGATCATTTCTGAGGAGGGAAGCACATCAGTCACGCCCTGTCAGGAGACTTGAACCACGGTGTCAAAGCGGCGCCGAGCAAACATGGCACATAGTTTGTGTGTTTTAATCCACTGAAGCCATTAGCGTGCCAATGGGTTAGATTTCCTTGGAGTGTTGGTGATGCCAACCGTGGCATGAGGACACAGAATTTGCGTGGCTGAGCGGGAAGCCATCAGGCTGTAAGTTGCACACAACTGCGCACATAGGGGGAAACATACTAGAAGATGTGTAAGCACAGCCAGCGATGTGCACCACGGGGACATCATGCAATCCTGCACACTGACTTCATAGGCGTGATAATCGTTGAATCCCGTTGACTTTGCAGGCTAATTGCTCGATGTGAGTGAGCTTGTTTTTACAGAGGACTGCTCCGTGAATTGTAAACATGGATGGCAACACAGGAGAGAAATGTGGCCGTCGTCCATTAAAAAGCAAACTGTACCTCTGGCCCGACAGATGACATTTTTTCACATCTACTTAACCTCAGATTCAGTGGTGGACGGGAGAGAAATTAAAGGGAAGGAGAATGGAGGAGAGAAGAAAAGAAGAGCTGCACAAGGAATGACTGAACCATGTGGGAGGAGAGATAGGAAGAAGAATGAAGGCGAAGGATTACTGCATGCAAATAAACACACACACACACACGTACACACATACACAAACGCATTCACACGCATGCACGCGATCGTCACCCTGCTTACCATCAAATTCCGCTGGTCCAACCCCGACTATTATAATTGACATGGGCAGAGATGCGGCCTGTAAAGGGTGGAAGGAGACAACACAGGCACATCAAAGGCAGGGAACAAGCAACGTTCAGTCTTTTCACCATTTCACTATCTTAAACACAGCAGGCTGTCAGTGAAATACCCCCGCAAATTACTAACTGTAAGCTAACAGTCCATATAAAGGAAGCTCAATAGCAAAATTCAATGCCATTGTTAAGACAGACGAGGTTCATCCAATCCCATCTGCCCTCTGCAGCCGGTTGCATAAAGCCTCTCGTCCGGACGGTTCTGGAGTTTTTCTAATTTCATGCATCTACAACTTTGTCTAAATCTCCCAAAGCTTGACAGCTTAAAAATGAGTCCATTTACATCTTCCTCTGCCCTGAGCTGCAGCTGAACTGCCGCCCTGCATTGCAATATTGTTTATTAAATCTTAGCCGAGTGGGACAGCAAAGCACAGTTCAAGTGATGAATGATGAATGAAGGTTTTACCGTGTTTCATAACTTCCTGTGGTTATTAGATGGACACCCAAATTGCTAGAGATATGAGTGGCATGGATCCTCCGTGGGCTAGTAAATAATTACCCACAAATCTTACTTTACAATACCATTACAACACGTGGGGGTGTGGGGGAGGGGGAGGCTGTGTGATGCTGACACAGACGACTGAGGATCCAAATGTATAAAAAAAAAACGTTACGCACATCAACTCTGATTACAGAGCAGCGTTATTAGAGCTGAACGTAGCGGGATTGGGGGCTGTAGGGGTGGCTGACCTGCGGATTCCCACTCTTCCCTCATTAGTGAAGATGAGTGAAAGAGAAAGAGGGAAGCACTACAAGAGAAAGACAGCAGCTGAATTGCTGTTCATATTCTCCCTTTCATATTGTTTGTTTGTTCATTAGAATCTCCATTAGTGGCTTAATCATAGCTGGACCTCCCGGGGTCCTCACAGGTTTTACGGTGAATTAACTGGATGAATATGGGCATGCAGTACATTAATGCTGTCAATGATACTGTATATTACATTTGTTAACCCATTGTATGGTTTGGAAAATGTCATGGCAACACAAAGTCTCCTGTTTGAACAATAAAACACACAGTATGTAGACTGAGTTTAAATCTGGTACTGTACATTGACTATGGACTCCTTGGTCTGTGCCATGTCCGTGATCACGCCGTCAGAGATGATGAGCAGGATGAAGTACTGTGAGCCGTCTGTCACTGCTGATGCATACCTGGCATGGAGAGAGACGAGGGGGGAAAAATAAAATAGAGGCAGAGGCAGAGGCAGACAGAAAGACTGCACATCATTTCAAGATTAAAAGGCATATTCTGACTTTTATATTCTGCTGAAATCTATTCATCTATATTCATTTAGTTCATGATCACGGGGAGTACTTTTTTAATAGAAGGTCTGAGTTTCAAGACTTTCAGGGAGGATCTAGTTGCATTATGGGAAGTGTAGGACACAGTGTGTTTGGAAGTGGATCTATAATAGAGGCTAAAAGTATATTTTTTAAGAATATCGGCCTCTGCTGCTTAAATCTTTTATTTTCATCTGTCTCATTAAAGTCCACCAACTAGAACTCAGTGGACTATCCCTATAATGCTTCTCTGTCTCCAACCATATTTGTTGTAATAATAATATCTTATTACATGATATCCCATATTAGGATATTAGCCCTCAGTGATCACTCAAAACAATTTTAATTTATTGAGGACAAATGGTCCAATTAAACATGTACGCATCAGTGCTGTGTCCAAATAATTTCAGTCATGTAAAATTTTATTGATTTTGAAAATTTATTTGTTGGGCTTTTGATATCTTGATATTAAATTCAACTCATTTGAGGCTCTTGTATTAAAACCATCTCCATCAACTTTTAATTGCTTTGTCTAGAGCACCAATTTAATATATAAAGCCTAGTGCATGTGTATGCTTTTTGCTTTTTATTGGAATAAAATGTGTTAACAAGACTTTAATTGTATTGTATTTATCAAAGGAAAACTGTAGAAAGAAAATATAATGTAGAAGGACTGCCAACAGCAGTGCAGCAGCAGAAACGCTCTCTGTGCAGACCCCACAGGCATGCGAGCCGCAGCAGTTCAGTGAGGCAGCCGCCACACACTTCTCACGCATGCTGAGCGGACAAGGGGTTACAGAATTTACAAATGCAAAATAAATCTCACGAAGCATATACTGATGCAGTGATCATCTATTACAATTAATTCATAAGAAAAAACAATTTACAGTTGTGAATAGTGTGTTTAATGCTTTAAATAGACTTATAGTGATACACCTTGGACTTTTTTTTTGCTCTAAACTATCACTTACAGCAGTTTACTGTTATATAAACCGGCTGAAATGTTTGAAGCCATGTCACAGGACAATATTTTGAGACGATATGTTATGCGCAAACAGTCAGGAATTTGACATGACTTGGTGTCACTTTTTTTGCCTCGTCTTCCTGGGTTTTAGTCAGATGCTCCACAGAAGTGAGCAATGAACAATGCAGCTATTCTCAGGCTGAGTGGGCGGACGGCGAGAGATGGGATTTGAAAGCCGATGATGAAAGGTGGGAAAAGTGCTTGTTACAGTCAGTCTTGAGGATCATGAGACATGATCATGGCAATAGGGAACGTCAGGTGGAGATTGGAAAACACTGTACGACAAAACTGCGCATTACTTTTTATCAGTGGTTATTCCTGTAAATCGGGCAAGTGCTGCTGACAGTTTCTGGTGGTATCCCCTAGAAGTGTATATTATTTGCTTTAAATATTTAATACATTGGAAGAGAAGCTTTTTGCATTTATAATTTGTTGCTCTAATAAAATTTTTACTGCACTTGAGGGTCCATATGTCTCTAGTAATTTAGGTCTTTTTAATACTGAAGCACTGGTACATATTTTCTACTTGTGTCTATAGTATTTCCTTTACTGTGCATTCGTTAAATGGTGGGAGGTGTGACATTTACTGTTATTCACAGCACTGTCCTGCACCTGAAGGCAGCCCATCAGTTATTGTGCAGGCTGGTTCCCTTCTAAAGCACTGTGGTTGTTGCACGTGTCCAAACCACAAAAGTAAGTATTGATTCCTCTCAGGTGACATAGCTATTAGCACATTTATTTTAATCTCCTCCCTTCGCTTCAAAGATCACTGTAAAGCAGCCCACACACATGGCTGGAATTTCCCCAAAGCCAATGGATCTCAGAGGAAATTCTTCAGCAGTACTGGAGGCATTGTACTTCATGACATTTGCATGTGCGCCTGCCTACATGTTCCACGTTCCTGGCTGTGATTACAGTGGACCTACCTGGCCACATGGTTAATAACAGGGGAGAAGTGGGTGGGTCCGTAGAGACGCACAGATTTGAGACTCTGGTAATAGGCCTCCATCACCCCCTCGATACCATTGCAGTAAGGGTTCTGTGGATTACCGTTCTGCACAAAAACAGAACGACAAATCAGTTTATAAGTGTGGTAGAAAATCATTGAAATGTATATGCAAAATTTCTGAATCAGTGTTAAATCATCTGGTGAACAACTTCAAAAGGGGCATTGAATCCATTGACATGAGAGAAGTATCAGATTATCCAGATGTAAAGATGAAAAGAGACTGAGACTATAGAGACTGACCAGAGAGTAAAGAATTTGTAAGTGATAATTTAGTTTTATATATAACAAAGATATTTATCATGCACAGAGGTAGGAATGAAGTTTTTAGTATCCCATAATGTGATTTAAATTAATGATGACCAACATTTTTCAACTGTATCAAGGTATACATTTTTAATGGGGTATGTGTAGGCTTGCATCAAATGTCTCTTAACAGCTGCTGCATCACAGTTGCTCAAGTGATTGCACACACACAAAGCCTTTAGTCTTTTTTTAACCACACTTTGTACCATTATTCCAAATGCAGTTCTTCTTCTTATGTACTAAAGCAAAATAAAAGACAATGGTCTAATTCTGTTGGCTATGAGTTTTATTATGCTTTTATATTATTTCTGAAAACTGGGACATCTGGAAAAAAACAGACTTGTAAAGATTTATAAAGATAACATTAACACGTTTTTCTCATTCTCCTTCAGGATGATGCTGTTGGTCCGGAGTATCTCCATCCACTTTCCTGCCTTAGGTGTTCACTTACCGACTGCTAACAGTTAGTTTACATACACTGCGCCATCGTCAATGATTTAATGTCAGCCAGCTAATATTGTAAAAAATGTGTTAAATATATTTAAGGGCAATTAGAATAACATGCTTACATTATATCTCTGTGGTACACCTGGGATCTATGTACATTTAAACACTAGGCATGAAATTGAATGTAGTTTGTTTTGATATATTCAGAGACAGCACAACTAAAAGGAATCATAAGAACACAACAAATGGATGTTTGGTTGAATTTAAGATATCCAAAAGAAACTCACAAGAAGAAGCAACAATACATTATCTAAGCTACCCATATGTTTTGAGTTTTCTAATTATCTCAGCCATCTTGACTAACACTGCTTGGTTGCCCTTGAGTACTAACAGTGCACGTGAGACTCTGTTGCTTTGTAAATGGAGCTTGCATAATTAAGTCGGATTCAGTGGTGGCTCTCTCCCACTGCTGATACACAGCTGCATCCTTCCTCTTTAAGAGCTGACTGAGTTAAATCCTTAATGGTTAGATTAATGCATATGTGCCTTGTCTCAAGGTTTAGCGCCTCTGGGGAGGCTGTTATCCAACTCTGAGCAGTTGTACTGGCTGTAAATGCCTCTGGAGCAACATCTGGAAGTCACAGTAGACCATGGACAGGATTATGGGTGGCTGAGGAGTGGTCAGGATGTCTAGAGCCCCGAAGCATTTAACATTGGTGGAGGGGTATGGACGGATGGATGCATGGATCGGTGAAGGATGAAAGATGCATGTATGGATACGGATAGTGTTGATGCAGATATTTGTGTGCATGATTTCCATACTGTATGTCAGAGTTATCAAATGATTGTTATACCTTGGAATCATTTCCATTATAAAGTAAAACCATCTTTGTCCCTTCAGTCGTACTGTAGGCAGCATATAGCAGCAAAAACTAAATTTGGTTAGTTTGAACAGCCAAAATGGCTCGTATACAGGCAAAAAACTAACCAGCTCATTTGGCTTCCATCAACATAGTGTGCGTAGGCTGAATTTGTTCATGGTTTTGGACAGCAGCATTCACCACCCACCAATACACTTGCCTGTAATTGGTCATCTGTTCATGGTAGATGTGGAGTTACCACATCTACCTCGAACAAGTTTTTTCCGTTTTTTTCATAGTTCGGGTATAACTTCATGTTTGTATCTTGCTTTGAGAAATATACAAGTTATCTATGCTCTCACTGTGACAGGCAAGCTCCTCCAGCTGGCATGAAAGCCATTACAAGATTTATTCTCTGTGCCATATTCAACAGCAATTTGAGAACAAGCCAAATTTTTTATACTGCCAGTCTCCAATCTGAATGCTGTTCAAACTTAGCACCACATTTAACATGAGCCTTAGTGCTTCATTACACAAAGGAAATCTTTGTTTTCAAAGATTTTCTCTCAGATTTTACTGAAGACAATACAGATCTTAACAACCATTAGATGGATTGCCATGAAATTGTGTACATATATTCATGTTTCCCAGGGAATAAATATAACCGATTCCTTGACCTTTTCAAATAATTCCACATCTACCAGACAATCATGAATCCAAGGCAAAATATCCTTCTGACTTTGGTACTTGTCACTTCTCATTTTTTGCAATCATCAAGTTTAAATTTACATGTGTTCAATACTTTGGTTTATGACCAAATACCTGCAGAACCAATGATATTCCCATCAGCCTCAGCTGCATTTTATGTGTAGCACACTAAACTAAAATGGTCAAGATGGTAAACATTAAACCTGCTCAAAACTGACATGTTAGTATTGTTGTTTTGAACATGTTAGCATTCAGCTCAAAGCAGCTGCTAGCATGGCTGGTTTCATTTGTATTTTTTTATTTCCATAATTCAACACTCTTAGCATTGTGAGTGTGTTAGCGTAGTGTTAACGTTGTACCATAAAGCTATTTATTTTTATGCTGTAAATCACTTATGCAATTTCCTGCTAAATCTGATCTGGTGGATGCCATGTATAAGGTGACAGTCTTCTACCCCAAGGTTTTGTTTTGAGGTTTTTATGAGGGAATAAATGAACAGGCAGATGTTTGTATGTAGAAGGTTTATGCAGAGAAATGGATGAACAGATAAAAAGTGTTTATATGGACAAATGACTGGAAGATCTGTGTATGTGTATAGACAGGTGGATGGCTGGATGCCAAATGATGGTAGAGTCGTCTGCTTACCAGGGCAAACTCGTGCGAGACCCGTCCGTCCGGGGGAAGCTTGGCACCAAAGCCCAATGCAGGAAACATCTTGTCGCTGTCGTAGTCCTGGATGATCTCTCCCACAGCCCGCAGTGCCATGGCGTAGTCATTCAGCTGGTATGGGCTCATGTAATGGAGCGAGGTGGGCTGGGACGGGTTGCCTGGGACCCAAATGGTTTAACACAATAAAAAACACATCAGCATCTAAACTGTAATTATGCCTGCTCCCCCGGGCTGTGAGTCATATTAAAATAAAAAGAAGGGGAGTGGGTGGAAGGGGGTTAAAACGCAGACTGGAGTTTTAGTTACACAAATGCTTCTCTAAGGCACAGCTGCATTGGAGGCAGAAATATTCTCACTGGTTGCCTCAGACCTCAGTGGGGAGTGCAAGGAAAGATAATTTTACAGCAAAGCTAAGTAACATGAAGCCACAGTTGCAGTTTAGCTACTACACTAATAAAATGATGAGTTACAGTGACCTGCTGACATATTCAAAAATCTTTTCTACCACTGTCATAAATAATGAAATATATTTTAGTTCATAATTGCTTGCCATCAAAGTTTCAGTCATTTCCAAACAGCTGGGCACTTTGGTTTTAACAAACGTTACTCAAACAGGAGTAAATAGTTAATTCGTTTGGAGACTATTTTCAACTGCAGATTTATACAAACCAAGACTGTGTATGTGGGATTGAATTTTAAAAAAAAGACAAATTCATCATAATGAAGGCGCATGTCACCCAGTGCATGTGATTTTAATCATTTATTGAATAAGATATATCTGGCTCGGGTTACAAAGACAATAATTGTTATAGGATCAATTCACTGTTGGTTTTAGTCTTCTCATGATTTCTCTAATAAGGAAAACAGAACTTCACAAGCCTTGTCTTTTAAAATTCAATAAATGTTAATGGACTGCTTTGTGCAACATCATAAAAGAAAATAGTTGTTATATTCTGACAACTTCTGTTTGTAGTTTAGTAAATATGAGCAACTGGGCCTCAAAGAAAAACTTGTTCCCAATTGCCAACGAAAAACAGAAATAATGTAGTTACGTGCATAATATGATTATTTCAGATGTTTGCAAAGACAAGAATGCGGGAAAACCCACATTTCTCCCCTGCATAAAATATATTAACTTACTGAATCATCTCTTTCTAAAATGAGGACATCACTCATCTATGACAAGATCTTCCGCGCAGAATATCTTGTTTTGTCCGTTTGTTGTTAAATTGTAGTAACTGATAAATGTACAGTAGTTTACCTGTGGGGGTTCATATACTCTGACTACATGGTAAATTGTAAATGCAATTTCAGAAATGTGGGTGCAATGACTTTCCATCAACACAGAGTCACAAACTGTACACATTGCGGTTAATAAAGAACATCAAACTGCGTTCAGATGTTTAAAGTATGAGATGTTCACAAAATTGTCTAAGTTTGGGTCATTAGAATAAGTGATATGTAAATTGACTTCCAAGGAATTACTTAAGAATTCACATCAAATAAAGATGAGTGTTAACCACCAAAGCTTTATCTGTTCAATACACTTAAGGCATATCATTGATAAGAGCAAAGCATTTAAAACACTTACCATTTGATGCTGTGAAATCAATTGCCACTGTAAAATTTATCTGAGTCCTACAAGAGAAAATAAATCATGTAAGGAGTAACGTAGAATCATCAATCATGCTAGATTATACCACAGCATGTTTCAAAGCATGCAGCAGTGAGCAATTAAGCAGCGGGTTATCGGCAGCTGTCTGTCTTAATATTGGAGCTAAGAGATAAACACGGTGCAGTAATCCTCCCAGCTGAGTCTCTGCAGAGTCTACACCACATCAAAAGTCACTCTGGATTTGGTGATTAATCTCTGCAGAATTCCATGCTGCCATTTATTGTGAACTTACCCGCCTCGGATGTAGTCCAGGAAGGAGAGCTCAGTGTCCACCAGGCAAGACAAGAGGGTGACCTGTCAGTGAGAAACGTGTAGGAATTAGAAAATAATCACTTTTACAGTATTAACAGAGTCTGCTAATGTAGCACTGGATTCTCAGATTAAACCAGTAATCATAAATGATCAAATATCTAGTTATTTCTGTGATGGCAAAACCTGTTCAGAGCAGTCAGACTGTCTGGGCCCGGAGGCAAAATCTTGCTGGTGAGCCCCTGTTAGCTCCAATCAAGTACAGTGCACACAGCACACTATAGATGGAAGTCTCATTATATTTGGCACAAAGATCCAGAAACCAACCTGTATTCCTAAACTGGAACACTACCTGGCCTTGGGTTTTATATGTCAGTTAGTTTGTAGTAATTGGATGCAACAACCTTTTGGAAATGCACCACATGAGCACATTATGAACTAAAATAATAAAGGTTTTGGAACTAGATTTTGACAATAATGCAAAACAAGACCACAAGATAACATAGTAATGTGGGATACAGTTGATATTGTACTTCAGTAGTGTTAATTTACAAACAATCAACCATAAAAAAAAACAGCTCACACAAGTTGAACTTGGGGCTTTTGGGGCCCGTGGACATCTGGGGTCCCAGGGCAGTTCCAAATCCAAATCGGATCTTGCTTAAAATGAAGTTGCTGGCATACATATTTACAGCCACAGGAAGATCTCCATATGCAGATATTGTTTTAGCATGAAAGACACTGATGAGACGTTAAAGTGTAAATAAAATAGCTACTGTGATACTATAGGTATTTGGGGGGGGCACCAAGGCTGAGTCCTTGCTGCAGCAGCCATAGGTTCGACTCCAACCTGTGGCCCTTTGCTGCTTGTCATCCCCCCTCTCTCTTTCCCTCCCTTCCTGTCACTCTATAGCTGTCACTGGCAATAAAAAGCCCCCCACCCAAAAAAAAAGGCAGGCAAATATTGTAAACAAAATGTGTTTTAAGCAAACTTCCACCTGTCTTTTTGACATCACTGCCACTTACTATCACATAACAATTTCGTATTAAGCAAAAGGTCGAAGTACAGCTTTAGTGTCACAATGGAAAAAATAACATCAGTCAAAGCTGCACAAACTGTTGACTCACCGTTCCTGAGTTTTGGTACTTTTTCTTCTTCTTTCCTTTCTTCTTTGGATTTAGCACCTGTGGAAAAAACATGAGCTTGAATCCACTTTGTTGTGTCTCAGTGCACACTGGGAGATACAATGCGAGCCAGAGATCCTGACTCATGGCTTTGTGTTGGTTCAATCAACTAAGACTCTAACAAAATTAAAATAAATGCTTTTTTAATACATTTTCTATCACCACATTACAGTCAGTTTAATTAGGGAAGAAGCTATGTTTAATTTTCACTGTTCACATTATTATAACAAGCCACTAGACACTGCTTCCAGAAGAAGTCAGACTGTACTGAAATGATTCGAAACCTCAAACGTCTCTCAGAAAAAGCTCACGTCCCTTAGAAGTCCAGTGTGTAACATTTAGCAGAACCTATTGACAGAAATGGAGCAAAATATTCATAACTATCACTTCATTAGTGTGTAATCACCTGAAAATAAGAATCGTTATGTTTTTGTAACCTTAGGATGAGCCTTTTATATCTATAGATGCCACAGGTCTCCCTCCATGGAGTCTGCCATGTTGAACCACCATTTTCTACAAAAGCCCAGAAGGGACAAACCAAACATCGGCCACCATAGTTTCTCCTTCACACTTGGAAGGGGAGGGTGAAGCGAGGGAGTTGTGATCCTGTAATCCTACACACTGCACTGGACCTTGAACAAGATGTGAGTGTCTAAATAGATATTTTTATTTTTATAATGCCTGGGCAGGGGGATATTCAGAGTTCTTGTTTGGTTTTAAAGGTATTTCAACCTGTCACAGTCAATATGAGCTAGGCTATCCACCTAGGCTTTGTATACTCTGGGTGATGTCACAGACACACATTCAGTGTTTGCCTACAATCTGTACCACAGATGTGTAAGGGTCAGCATTTTGCCGAAAACACTTCATGGAGAATAAACAAAAAAGAGGTTGAGGAGGTCTGGAGAAAGAAAAAGTCAGAGACGACATGGGTCTGACAAGTCACGTTACGTCACGCGTGTGCTTCTACAGTAAGTGATTCAGGATGTGCTTCGTAAGCAACTTTACTGACTCTTGACCTTCAGTGATTTATGGTTTTCCCATGCAGCTGGCGTAGAAGTTAATGGACCAGTCGGTAAACTGCACTGAATATTAGAAGAGGGGACAGAAATCAGTCTTTTAAGGAACTGGTGCTGGCTTAACAGCATATACTGTATATCACTATGTATTCCAACTGGGGAATAGCATCCTGTTAACTAATCACTGGAGTCAGTGAATAATTGCTGATGTATTCCTCCATGTGTAACGTCTAGAATCGAAGTACTGACCAGAGCGGAAAGGTTTTTAAATTTCAAATTTTTATGTACGCCTCCAAATCAATAAAATACTGCTGAATAAGTATGAGGTGGTGACGCATTCCTGCCCGCTGGGAAGAAACAGCAGTCAAATTGGATAAAACCAGCTCACCTTGAGGAACTTTCTGGAAAATGTTGGTTGCGCTCTAAAAACATTTTTAAAAAGTGGAGCATCCTTTTTGGGGATTTCTTCAAGCAAAGGCTCAGTCCATTGATATAAAAAGGTGTATATAATGTATGTATAACTCTGTTTTTCTATTACATCTTGTGTTTTCCATTCTATTATGTATTTATTTCTTAGCAGTTGTGTTGTATCTTGAGCTGCTGTAAACAAGCAAATTACCCCAGTGTGAATCAATAAAGTCTATCTAATATTATGTTATCTTAGCTCTGATGTATGTATTTGTCCAGAGTAGTTGCATATTATTGTGAAAAACTGCTTTTCGCTAATGCCTCCTCCAATATGTTATTATGTTTTATGCTTTTGGGGGCGTTTTTTCTGACAATGATGCTGATTGATACTCATGTACGCATTGCTCTGTGTGGGCAGCACTATATCGAAAGTTCAAATTGATTAAACTTCGAACACAAGCTGCACTGCCCTTTGTCAGTTCAGCCTGTTGCTGTTTGGTAGCGCTTGTGCTGCAATTAAAGACGGAGGACAATTTAATAATGTGTGTTTTTTTAATCGACCAGAACTTCACAATAATAACAAATTATCATGTATTAAGGCAAAATATATCAGCATTCATATGCAGCAGCCAGGTCTGTTAAAATAACACAGTCTGAGTGTCTGTAGTTATCTAAAGTGAGCTTTGGCAATAAAGAATACATTTTCTTATTCCTTCATTGGTAAATTTCTACTACTGCTTTCCGCTTTAATCTTCTCTGTTACGTCTTATGTCACCATATCGGACTAATCAGGCATCTACCCGTGTTCCTTGGGCCAACTGAGTTTGTGCTAGCCAAAGTCTTCCTCTGTTACTAACCTCAATAAATACTGTTATTCACTTCAAGTGGATCTCTTCCCATTAAACTGCTGCTAGTAACATTAGCAGTGGAGCCTGGAGCTATAGCTCAGCTCTCAGCTTTCCTCTGAACACAACTCTCAAGAATTCAGTAGTAATAAACACTGCAAACAGTGCAAGAGCATTGTTGTTGTGCAATCCTTTTCTACAGAACAACAAGATGGAAATGCAGACTGTGTTTTGCAGTTTGGCAGGTTATCTGCTATGTGTCTCCCCTAAACTATTTTTAGCTTTTTTTCACCTCATGCTCTGTGTCACAAAATGCTGCCAAATAACGGATCTCCCCTGCACAGACCAGTGTTTGTGAGGACATTTTTGGAAAGTGGGGATATTTTGTCTGGTCCTTACTTCTTCCAAGGGCTATGTGACGGTTAAGACTTTGTTGGAAGTATGGAAGTACAAGTGTGTGTGTGTGTGCACGTGTGTGTGTATGAAGAATATCACCTCATAGATGTGGAACTGTGACTGGCTTCTGGACATTTCTCTGTAGCTGGTGCTGAACTCGCCGATAAAGTCGTGGCTGTAAAGACGAACACACAGTCACATTTATTCCCAAGTGAAAATCCCATTGTTGTGAAGCAATGTCAGAAAAAACGCTAAGTACCCATAATAACAGTAAAGAAAAAAAGTCTTGAGAAGTACAGATATAATTCATTAATTTGTAGCGTATTCACATTGTCTGTCTTCCACAAAGTACAGGAGCAATCAGAAAGTAGTATCACTAATAAGCTCCTAGGTAACCAGAGGCGTGGGCGTAGCAACCAATTTCATAATTTCACGGAGATAATCGGTGCAGTTGGAGCCGGGGTCAGAAATGCATGGAAGCTCAGGGCTAAATGCCCTTGAAATGTCAAAAACTGCCTGTGAAATTACCAATACAGGGGGAGCAAGCTGTGCCCCTAAATACTGGGAATTCACTTGCTTCAAAAGATAAACACTATCTTTATTCCCCGACTGACTGTATGAAGTGATCTGCCAAGAGACCATTCAAGCAGTATTAATAGTTAATGTATATTTAAAGCAATAGGGAGTGTTGTCAAATGTGCCTCTCTACAGTGATATTTTTCTGCAGTATCCGCTCTGACAGTGAAAAACAAGAGGGTGTATAAGGACAAACATTTTGGAGTGTGATCTGTGACTGTAATCCCAAAAGCCCTTCCCCACTTTGCACATATGCTCTTATAGGGCAGGGCAGTTTTTATTTTATACAGCATACAATATAAATCTCATCAGATGAAAAAATATTATATCTTGGAATAGCATGTAGGATTAATACATAAAGAAATAACAGAGTCGCCACAAGATATAGCTCATAGGTAATTTAGACATTTACTCTGCCCCTGGGCCATGTTGCAAATGTATGTGGGGTTTCATTCACAGTGGGATGTCAATAAAATAATAATACTGTATAGATGAATGGAGCATCATAACATACAATGCAGTGCAGATATCTTCACTTTAATTCATCAGTACAAAAGAAAAGAGCATTGTTCTCTCACCCTCCATCTCTGTCCCAGTCATACACCTCCACCTTAATGCTCCTGCAGGGAAAAAGAGGGCAGAGGGAAGGGGAGGAAAATCCCATTAAAAAAACAATTAGCATCACTGATTTACAGTATTTCTGCTTAAAAAGCTGGAAACCGGTCTGTGGAAGGCCAGGGTCCTAAGTGGACGAGCCGACCTAATGCAGAGAGGGGAGTTAAGGAGCGGTTTTCTGAAGGTTGTTATTAGGATAAGCTGGTGTAACCCAGGCAAATAAGAAATATAAAAAGATAAAAATAAATAAATACAAATGAGGGAGATAACACAAGGCGGCCCATGTCCTCTAAATCTGTATTACAATGACAGTCCTGTTTCACCATTAGGTACTGGTGGTACTGTTTATGACCTGTGAGTGTTTACCATCTGACAGCTGTATGATCAAAGAGTTGGTTGTGTGGGCGTTGCAAGCACTGTGCATGGTCAATATAGCGCTATATTCATTCAATTAGCTTTTAACTACCTTAAATGATACTTGGTTGACGTAAGGCAGCTATGTTTGTCCATGTTAATAATGTGCTTTTGTGCTTTTTCAGGCATAATAAGAGCCAAGTTGGCTCTATCGGCATGTAACATGTGGGAACCTGGTAATTCCTGTAACTCTCAGATGGTATAAAGATGATATTAGCCAATGGCACACTGTCAAATCTTGTTATCTAAGTAAATTTGGGGATTTGTGGGTTAAATTAAATTAATCCAAGATTTCTGTTAACACAGTGTAACATTAGCAAGGTTTTGTTTGCTACAGCACTGCTGTAAGTCGTAACAAACTACAAGCACAGTGCAGCGGTACTCTGGTTGTGCCTTGTGACCAGTTTATACAGAAACTGATGAAACTTTCAATAACAAGAAGTTAGACTTACTTCAGCTTTTGTTGGGTAGCTAAAGTAACAAGGTTATTATGAAACACAGTTGTTCTCTTTTGTCCCTGTGTTAATATGTAAGCATAATATAAGCATATATTTCTTTTTTTTATTTATTCTATTGGTCTAACTGTAAACACTGTCAGCTAAATGTTTGCATTAGTTTCTACTGTACCTGTCATAGTCTCCGTTACACAGCGCCCTGACAGGAATTTTAAAAGCCTGCCACACCGGATCCAGAGTATTCTTCACCACTTCTGTTTTGTGGCAGATGGTATACCTATGGGACATACACAGACGTTAACAGATCTCAATGTGTGTTTTTTTTATGTATCATTAATAGTTTTTTATTAATAAAATGAAGAAAAAAGGTCTTGGGAAATATCAGAAATGCTCCTCTTAATCTCAGCAGCGGGGGCGTCTTGAAGTCACAGAATGACAATGCGTGCCCGCGTTAAACATGTGGGTCAGGAAGCTTGGTGACATAATGATCACTCGCCGGGCTAGTCGCTGTAGCTGGCAAGCTAATTGTTAACTCACTAGCCCGGTCTGAGTAGGGCTAGTCAATCAAATTCTTCGACCCACTGTTCTGTTTGCAACCCCCTGGCATTTCAATCAATAGAAACATATTGGAGAGGGAAAATAAAGCTCTCCAAACTAACCAGCTAAATATATACACGTTATTTAAAAAAATACAAATTTCTCTATTCTGGTTTTCTGTTTTTTTTTTCTCAAGGGGAGATCACAGGACGTGTGATTTACAGAGCAGATATGTAAGCTGCCTGCAGGAAATGCAGTTTAATTTCAGTTGGACAAAACCCTGTGTGCACATGTTGTCTTTGTGATTAAGTAGAGTGTAATGTTAAAAGTATTTCATAAAGCACAATCTTTGGCCGAAACAACCACTTTCTGTTCTTTTGTATGTGGCACCTAGTCTGGCTCTTTGTAGCCCCAGCGTGCTGCTGTTATACCCTGCGGCTCAACATTTAGGCTGCATCAGTAAATACCCAGCTGCAAAAAACAGAATGTGTTAGCTAAGACGCTGAAGTCGACTTCAATAAAAGCATCTGCGGGGCAAAGAAACGGCGACCTCCACACACAGTTTTCACTTAACTCCATCTTATCCATCCTTTCTCCCTTTATTTTCCTCTTGTCAACTCTGTCCTATTATCTCTGCTTATATCTCTTCCTGCTGCTTTCTCCTGCTAATGGCTGGACGACATAAATATATATATACACATAAACACATATATGGCACCAAGGATTATGTAACCTTATATAGGAAGTCCTGACCTTACAGACATATAGAGGATGTGTATGGCGGCTTTTTTGGAGCTTAAATAATCGCGCTCAGAGTCTTTATGCATTCGAGGCATCTTTGTTTTTATGTGTTAAACTGAGATTGATGATAGATATCAAACTTACGAGCCATCTTCGTTACTGCGGTAAAAGACGAGAAAGGGATCTGATTTTCCGAAGAAATCCTTCTTATCCAGCTTGTTGCCACAAAACTGCAGCATCACCGACTCCTGAAAAGGAAGTAACCAAAATAATTTTAAAAAATGACACACAAGCTTGCTATCAGAAGTAATATTATTTGTCAAAAGGATGATGAAGAGTGATATGCCAGTTCTCTATCAGTTTACACCTACGACAGCGCTGTTTATTCAGTTTCTCCACAAGTGACAGATACGTTTTTGGAGAATAATTCTGATTTTAAAAGTCGATTCGATAGAACACTTTTTGTATATAATGAGTCCCGGAAGCTGATCATTCAAACTTTATCCTCACCTGCCCCAAAACAGAGACAAGAAGATTAAATCAAGTTTATCAGGCATAATCTTACCCTCGAGCAATCTGACACTTGCATACTATTTTCATTTTATCTTCTTAAATCTATAATTGCTGATGTGCAGGGGTTATGTTTCAGTGTTTGTATAAAGTGTGTAATTAAGTTGTTTGGTGTCATGAATTTCACTTCATTGTGGTTCTTAATTAAGCTATTTGCTTTGTTTCCCTGGATGCCTTTGGAAAGCACCCAGAATTGATGCAAGCTTATTTCATTTATCATTTCTACAGTATGTAGATGGAAAACAAATGAGTAAAACAAGCAAATCTTGGTCAACATCTCTGATGGTTGCAGTACATCCTGACATATTGCCAGAAGAGAAATTGGTGTATCTTCCTCTTTTACAATGTTTTTCTCTCCTTATGTTTGCTACACTTTGGTAAAAATGACAGCTCAGAGCAGCTCTTTGATTTGAAGGAATGTCACCAAAATGTGACATTCACTGTTTGAAGTTTTGACCTAAAAAAGAAAAAAATTAAAGTCTGTCTATCACACTTCACTGTGGCTGCACTAGAAATATCTGGTTTGTATAATATTGTATGTCAACAGGTGGAAAAACACCACCATACAACAAAACGGACCCAGAATGCTGAGGTACTTCTTCACAAGTAGCAGTTTTTTCTAACAGTGCCCAAATGTTTGAGTTAATGTTTTTCCCCTTCGAAAGAAAGATTTATTCAAATAGACGCAGTCTGGCTCATCACAAAGTCCAACTGAAGCCATTCAAGACACAGTCCGCTTCCACTGAAAAACGGTCCTTTTACACTGGGTGACAACAAAATTTTTTTTTTTTCCTACAGAGCAAACAGAAATAAAGAGTAAACATCCGCAGTGCAAAAGTTACTACTAATCTTTAAAGTGAACATAATTTGTTAAATTGAAGCACTATCTATTCTGTAATAGTGCTTGATTTTCTTCTGGCTTACAGTAGTACAGTAGTATTTTCAGAATGTACATAATACACTTAGTTCTCTAACTGAAGTCACATTACTCGTGTTATAGCAACGCTAATGTCTCTGGTGCATTCTTAAAGCAGAACAGCATCAGTGGTAAAATGCACTGCAGGAAAGTGTTAAGAAACATATACTGTATGTGTGTAATTGTACACTCACTTTTCAGTTTATTAGGTACGCCTATATAAAACTAATGCAGTCTTAAACAACAGCCCTGTAATAAACTGTACGGTTATAAAGGTTATAAAGTTTAGTTTTTGTTGATTCAACTTCATGTCCACTGGAGGATGGATGGATAGTAATAATTATAAACTGACAGGGCATTCATGTATAAGTTAAGTTTGTGTTAAATTGTTGGTGATTACAGCTTTTTAATGATATTTATGGCAACATCTTCTGGTTACAACCAGACTTGTGTTAAAGAGCACTTCTAGTTATTAGTGTTTAGTTTAAACTGTGTGGAGCACCAGATGGGGCAGGCTTGTAACCGTGTAAGGTCTAAAAACCAGAAAGTTTAGAGTAAAGTAGGAAAGTTCAACTTCAGATGAATCAACACGGGAACCACACAGACTCTTACCCTGCAGTTGCTCAGCTCTTCTGCTCTCACTATGATGGTGCCACATTTCTTCCCTGGGATACCACTAGGAAAAAAAAGACAAAAAACGAAATATTCCCATTTATATTACATACTTCATTCAAGCAGGCCTCGAGCAATGAGTTTGTGACAGGTAGGATAATGTTTCCAACCAAGAAAGTTAGAGGGAAAATCTGTCTGGGTATAAGAGGATAATACAGAGAATAACTCTTAAACTATATTGTATATTGTATTATTGTTATAGTCTTTTATATAGTTATAGTGTATTTATCCTGTATGATCCTTTCTGTGCCAGTTCATCTTTTTACGAGTGTTCCAGCCCTTTCCCCAGTGTTGTTTGGACTTTTACTTGCTCCTGATCCACAGTTGCTGTCACCAGTTTCCACGCTGCAGCAGTCTCCTGTTTCCCTGGCTCCACCAGCTTGGTCCTATTCTCCAGATACCTACATTTTAATCAGTACCCTGCCCCAACCTGGAGCTGGAGCTCCTGGTGCCAGTTGGCTTTCTTGAGCTCCCACTTTCACCGCCAGCCTCCAAGTGGTTCCCTCTTTCATTTCCAGCCACCATAGGGGTTCTACTTTCATCACCAGCCTCTAGAGGGGTCCCGCCTTCATCACCAGCCACCATAGCTGCTCCACCGGGCTGGCCGTCCTCTTGCATGTCCTCTAGAGCTGATCTGCCCTTCTGCCCTTCTTCCTGGTTACCCTCCTGACCTGCTCCAAGCATCTATCTTTTTTAAGTTATTTTTTTGGCCTTTTCATGCCTTTATTGGATAGTGACAGCTGAAGATGGACAGGAAAGGGGGGTACAGAGAGAGGGGATGACGCGCAGCAAAGGGCCGCAGGTCGGATTCGAACCCGGGCCGCTGCAGCAACTCCATATATGGGTCGCCAGCTCTACTGACTGAGCCAACTAGGTGCCCCCAACCATCTATCTTGAGCTGTCCAGCTCCTCTTCTGTCCTGCCCCATAATGTTTTGTTGTTTATTTTTTTATAGTATCATTCATTCAGCTGTATACAGTATATTTATATGCACTTCACGACTGCTTGAGCTTTCTGGTTAGATGATAAAATGCATTTTGTTGCACTGACATTTGATAAAGCACCTTTCGTGTTTCATTTTCTTCATGTTGTATTCATCCACATCACATAACAGTTTCAGGCAAACTGAAGTATTTATGACAATATTAGTCAAGCTCTATGATTATTCTGGGGTTCAAATATCAGTTAAACCCCTGCAGCAGCATCAAATTTCTCTTCTTCGAAGTCTCTCTCACATTCATTATCCTGACAGTCTAAATAAATATTGCTGAATGAAAACGTTAAAAAAAAAAACATCACAGTAATGTAACCACCGCAAGTAAGATTTCAGCTGCAATTGTTTTTTTGTTTGCATCCTGAGCAGAAGAAATGTAACATTCAGCCAATAAAGCCAAAGGGAGACGGACCACAAAAAATAGACTAAATTAATTTGCCTGATTTAGAACGAGGAAGGAGAGCAATAATTTTATTTGCCTAAGTGATGTCCAGTAATGGCCAAGAGAGCCCACAATAGCATGTGGAGAAACTGATGGCTAATTGAAGCAAGGCTTTGATAATCTCCCTGTCACCTGAGACACACTGGCGTCCTTTGATGCACAGGGAAGAATTCAGTGAATTAATTCACTATACGAGCAGAGAGATTGCTCAGTTAGGGGGCAGATGGAAAAATGGCAGAGAGAGAATAAGAAAGAGATGGATAGAGTCACAGAGAGGAAGAGCACAGTCACTAGAAAAATGGAGGAGTAGATGAAAGGCTGTTGAGTTTAGGGAGAGTGAACATCAGTACGTGGTTTACACTGAAATGGGTTTTTAGATTGCGATACTTTTGTGCTAATAAACGATATCTTATATATTTGTAATAATGCAGATATATCTTATGTTCTTGACTGATAAAGCAGCATGCACCTGCAAAGCCTGCAACATACTTAAAATTGTATTTAATAGAGGAGATGTTTTGTTCTTTTTTATTTGTATTTCAAAAATACATAGCGATTTGTTTGTGCGTACTAGTAGCAGTTTCGCGATTCGTAATATAAAATATAAACACGTGATCTTAATGAAATGAGACAGAAAGTAAGGGGGTTGAGGTTAACACTGGCTATTTTTGCTTTTTTTAACCATAATGACAATCTTTCCTTGACATGAAACATAACCATAGTATAGTGTGTGCGAATATTGTAGAAACAGATCATTAAAAAAATAAATGTCGCCAATGAAACCAATCTGTCATCACAACTGATTGTCACTTTCAAACATAATGGGGGGGGGTGCTGTCCAATATCATTGGTCTGTCTGACAATAGGGTTGTAATAGACAATCTTAGGATACATGAGGCATATTTTTATTTAAATACGTGCTACAGTGAAAACAGCAGTTTTAAGAAGGCCATTTAAAAAGATACGGATCCAGGGTGCCTTGATACTAGGGTTGGGTGATTGGACAAATATATCGGCTATTTTGGAGTGATTCGTGTAATAGACAATAATTAGAAAATGTAATGGTCTGCTTCTGAAGAACGAGAGCCCCTGCAGTACACACACTGAGTGAGAGGAAAAACAGCTGTAGAGCCAGAATATTTTCGACAACTAACTTGGTGAATTAGGGCTTTATTTTGACCAGTTTGATGACAGGAAATACAGCAACAAGGTGACTTATGGCTCTGACCAGGACCAGGAACAGGCCGGGATAGGAGAGGCGTGAACTCAGGGAGGAGCGAGAGGGAGGTCGGGCATTCACGAGGCAGTGACACCGTGTAGAGCCAGAATATTTTCACATCTAACGATTAGACTGTTAAGACACCAGATTTGATGATTGTTGGAACAGTGCAAAGAGTAACCAATATGGTTTTGGTGGTGGACATACACACATGCAAATATATATTGTCAATCGGTGGTTGTTTGTTTACTTTTATTTGGTTAGCAGCCAAAGTTAATAAAGGATTTCAGTGACACAGACTGTGCTGAGAAACATTCTCTTTGTCACTGAAGTTGTTTTATAGCATACACAAAATGTGAGCTAGTCTCACAATGAAACTGTTTTATGTGTTTGGAGCTTATTGTCATCTCAATAGTCTTTGTTGCTCTTAATTTTTGTGATCCGCCTCCACTCGAGTGAGCAGTAGTGTGATGCTTTTGACTTAAGGTGTTTGTTTTTTTGTGCTTCACTTGGGAGGCAGAGAAGTGAGTACAAAAAACACACACACACACACACACACACACACACACACACACACACACACATACAGTTGTACAAACTTACAAACACATACAGCATTACAGAATAACAAAGACCATCTACAAATATTTTCATATCTAAGACAACACATTCAGGTACAGTATGCACAGACACACACACACACACACACACACACACACACACACACACCTACACACACACACACCTACACATACACAGACACACAACAGATCTGAGTGAATGACTGCAGGCAGAGGTGATTACATAACCCGGCGACAGCAACACATTCTTACATCATATTTCTTGTGTGTCATTCTTCAACAGGCCCATTCAGCTGCTACTGTTCATTGATTCTGCCACACACACACACACACACACACACACACACACACACACACACACACACACACACACACACATACTGACAGAGACAGACATACAGTACAGTCAACTCTCTCTCTCACTCTCTCACTCTCTTACTCGCTCACTCTACAGACACACATAGACACTGGAGTGGTGTCAAGTGTGTGTGTGTGTGTGTGTGTGTGTGTGTGTGTGTGTGTGTGTGTGTGTGTGTGTCAAGGGATGAGGCAAGGGTCAGACTACTGATGGTTCGTTGCCTCAGGAGGAAAAAACAAAAGCAACAACAAATTGTTCTCTTCAGTAAGCTCAAGAAGATGCTGCAGTTCTGCTCTCTGTGTTAGAGAACAGTTACAGTGCAGCTGAGATAATATAACACACTCCAACCCAGTTTATCAATGTAGTACAATAAACAACTGTTGGTCTATGTCTTATGAGGATCCTTTCATGGATTTAAAATAAAAATAAAAACCTATGTATATATGTATGTATATTTGTTGTGAACAACACCACTTTCACTGGTGTAGATTGAGTTGGCTAATTATTGGATATGGATAAATCTGTGGATTATTTTCTTGACTGATTAAAGGATTGTTGGGTTTGTAAAAATTCAGAAAATAATGTGAAATTAACATCACAAAAATAACCTAAATATCCAAAAAGTTATAATATATATAATATATATAATATATAATATCTGTCCGTCGACTGATTAACTGACACATCCTTTCAGCTGTACTTGTATAAACTGTAGGGTATTTTAATTTAGAACAAAACATCATATTCTATAAGCTCTTTGTATGTTTTGTGGGCAAAAATCTTGATTTGTAAAGTATATAAAGCTGCCAGATAAATGTAGTGAAGTGAAAAGTAGTGCAGTAGTAGAAAGTGTCAATAAAAGACTAGTACAGTACAAGTGCCTCAAATTTGTACTAAAATAGGCTACAGTACACAAGTAAATGCACTCGAGCTCCCAGAGCGGGTACAGTCAGCTAATCGGGCCATTAAGAACCTAATGGCAGCAGCTACTGCTTCAAGCACATTCAGCAGTGCTGTGTTACAACAGCAAAGGCAACAGTGTTGAAACAATACGTTAATACTACCGGTCAACGATTAGATGCATCTCGATGCAACAGTTTTTTAATGTACACTTTCATGCGTGATTTTAAAATATATATATATATACATCTGAGTTTGCTACTCAGAGTTTGCTAATCACTTCCTACTACTTTTGTGATATTCATTAAAGACAATCAACAGATGAATTACCTTCTCTATATTTTATTAGAGAAAAGGCTTTTCTTGTCACAAATATGACTTTCTATGAACAATGCAGCTTGCATTTTAACACAATATGGAAGTATGTATAAAAAACGATTCATTTTTCTTTTCTTTCTAATCTTTCTTTTCTATGTCATTAAAGAAAAAGCTGCTCTTAGTCAATTATAAGAATAAGACTTCAAACACAAAATCCTCCTGTTATTGGTAATAAGTAGCATAACCCTGAGACAAAAAAAAAACCTTTATGCTACACAATTTTATCACAGACAGAGTATGGTTTTTGCAATAAATTTCGCAATGTATTTAGTAATCCCTTTGGCCCTATCCGAGTTTGGTGGCAGCTGTGCAACTGCCTGCTCAATTGTCTTCTGGCTGCCATTAGGAACGGGTCGCTTTTCCCCCAACTCTGAGTGGTGTCGAGAAATGTGGTTTCGCAGATTGGTTGTATTTCCGAAGTTTTTAATTTGACTTCTACACACCTTAAACAGTGTAGGTCTTGTCCATCTTCCCATCGACCTCATAGAACCCAAAAGAGAATCGCGATGCATCGAAGAATCGATTATTTTTCCCACCCCTAGTTTTTTTTGCCGACTAGCAAAACGGGTCGACAGCGACTCTTCTCATCAACTAACGGTTTAGTTGATTATTAGGGAGCAGACCTACACTAGACGCTAACACATAAATTGCAATCATTTAAAATAACGTTACTATCTGCAGTGTTCCTACAATTTATATGGGCTATTGACTCAATGATACAAACTAGCTTGTAGTTTACACATCACCCCATCAGTCAACACAACGTAGCAACCAATGCCAGAGCCATGCCTTGAATTGCTCTTGGTTAGCAGAAATTTAACCTTGTTTGCTTTGTACCATTACATAATTTATTGCTGGCAAAAATCAAAAAAGCATGAGCGTGAGCATACAGGTCACTGATGTATTATAGGATCAGCAATTATTTTTACAGTGAGTTCAGGCGCTTCTGCAGCTATCTTCAGTGTTTCAGGCTTTTCTCCACCTTTCAGCACCGAGATTGGTCCATAATGAAAATTGCATAGTGCAAATGCCACAGTTTCAGTGGCCTTAGTTAGCAGGTGCTCACACACAGAGCTCTCCAAGATAACAAATTAACTTTCATGTATTTCCTTTTTTTCCTTTTCTATAGTATCGCATTTATAACATAACCTACTGAAATGTCCGTAAAAATACAGCTATTAATGTGACCCAGGCCGGTCTGAAACAAGTTAGTTGAAGGAATCTTACAATAATGTCATTCAGATGTCACTGAATGTATCTGGGATGAAACATCAGCACTTGTCCACAGCTGGCTGTTTGTCCATTTCTTTCCTTTGACCTTCAATAAATAAGTACCACAGCATCACACAGCAGCAGAAACAATAAGCACCTCTTCAACTTGAGATAGGTGTGCATTTATGCATGTGGCACAGCAGTGGTAGCTTCATTAACATGCAGACTGCGGGATGATGTCTGTAAATTCAAGTAAAATACAGACTTTGCTCATCCCGTGCAAATGAACCTCACGAAACACAAATGTGGGAGGGTCATTACTAAATGGTATACTGGTAGTACTAGTCCCGTGTGAATAGGGCTTATGACAGTGAACTGAATATCTTTGCGTTGTGGACAAAACAAGACATTTGAGGATGTGCCTTGGCCTTTTGGGAAACATTTATAAAAATGTTCCCCATTTTCTGACATTTTATGAACCAAACAATTAATTGATTAATCGAGAAATTTGGCCAGTATGATTAACACAACCACAATTAAAAGTTGGACTGTTTGTGAGTGTTCATCTGAGGGCGTATCCTGAAAATGTATCAATGTTTCGCCACGAAACAGGAAGTTGTCATAACTTCGGTGTACTTTGTCCAATCACCACCAAACTTCCCACCCTGAACACATCTACATGCGTGTATAATATTTAGTCACACAAACAGCGCCACCTACTGGAAACAGGAAGTTAGCCTTATATGGCAATTGTGATCTGATTTAAATGTAGTCTACACATCATATGTTAGTGCATAAGACGACCGCAGCACGCAACATCAAACATCAAACGTCAAATGTTTTGTAGATGATATTTGCATTTCTGTGGGTAACATACTCCTTTGTCTCTTCAACCACGTAGGCGATCATGCTCAGTGCTCAGTTCTTCTTCTGTTTATGTCAAACAAACGGCTGTTTTAAATATCAGATAGTCAATAGATAGTTAGAGAGTGATTGGAAACATGGAGAGACTTCCTGTGGACTACAGAGGATGTTTTCAAGCTAAAACATATTATTTCATGAACTGGCTATAGGTTTAATCACTATTTTGTTATAGTAATCAGTGATAAAGAGCCAAAATCAGACATTTATTCATATGAAAATGTCCCTGATTATTTCTTTAGGCTTCAGTTGAGGCTTCAGTTCAGTTTAGGCTTCTTCAGAAAATGAGCTGGGAGCTCACCACTGACATCTTCCCTTTGGGTGAACTGTCCCTTTTCACTACACTGTTTACCGTCTCAACATGTTTACGGTCTGTCATTAGGCCTGCTGCTGTATAACTATTCATCTCATTTGGCTGATGGAGACAGTGTACGCTTTCATCAACATCTTGGCTCATTTTCATGCCCCTGCCTGGCTTCAAAGACAAACACTGGCAAGTGATCTTAAAATAACATGCAAATTTTCAATTCATATCACTGAACGGAACAGAATCTAAAATCAAAACATGTGCCCAAACAGCTTTATGGGGCACCTATTGATAGTGGCTCACTGATTAGAGTCATGCGATACAAGCCTTTGCCCCTTCGCTTTCAATTAGGAGGGTCTAATTAAAATAGCACTGAGTGTGTTTGTTTGTTGGTGCGTATGTGTGCATGGCAACGTGTACTACTTACATCAAAGGTTTTTCCAAGCGGCTTCCCAGGGAGCCGACTATTTCACCTAGTGTACAGAACGCCTGGCCCAGGAAGTCCTGCATGTGTGAAAAACATACAAGTAAACACATGAAGCAGCCACACACACGCTAAAACAAAAAGAGCACAGTACGTTTCTCAACGTTCCCAAAATTAATATCTTAATATGAAATAAATGAATGAAAATACATTATAACCATTAAATTAATCCATTTATACATATAATAAATAAATAATATTTTTTTTAAACTGAACTCATTGTTCTGAAATGTTACTTCATCTGTTTATTTTCACAATAACATTTTATTGTCATTTTCATTTCATTCCAACAGTTTTAGTTATAAATGGTTGTTTTTATTTGCACTTTTATGTTTATTTTATTAAACTTCATTTTTCAAGAGAAAATACCAAACATTCTCTGGTTACACATGGTCAAATGTGATTTAATTATTTTCCTTGATAAACAACTGAACCAAATATAATGTAAGTTGAATATTCTTGGGTTTTGGTCTATTAGTCAAATAAAACAGTACCTCGGTCAGCTTTATATCATTAATTATAAATGGGCATTTTTATCAATTTCCTGAATTTTATAAACAAAATAATTTATTAATTAATTGAGTCAACATATTAACCAATATTTAGATTAATCATTAGTTGAAGCCCTTCTGCCACTTTAATCATAATATCTTCATCGGTCAAGACAAAAGAGACAAAGATTCAAAGACATTAAAGCAAGTTAAAAGTAATATTTTTCTTTTTCTTTTTTCCTTCCTAAGCCCAGCGTGCAGGGGATCCTGTGTCCTTGTTGATCACTGTAGGGTGACCATGAGAGAGGGTTTGGGTTTGGGGGAGGAGGAGCCTTTGGCAAGCAATAAGAGCAAAGCAGAAAGAGTGGAGGGGGTATAAAAAGTCTGTTTACAACAGGCAAGGAATGATTGTTCACGCGCCGATACTGAGGCCTCCCCCACCAGATTGTGTATATATGTGTGTGTGTGTGAGTAAGCGTACGTGCATGTGTGCGTGCGTGTTGTAAAAGTGCTTGACAGATGAGCCGTGTTGAATCCGGCGGGCAGAAAGCTGCTCCAAAGATCTTTGCCGGTGCTGAGCAAATTTCTCCCCCAGCCGAGGTCTCGAAACATAAAGAGATGACAAAAATGCACTGGCCGTTCCATAAGAAGTCTGCTGCAAGCTAGCAGCCCCAGCCCAGTGCCTGCTATGCCTCAGAAAGCTAAGGCTAGAGGCTGAGGAGCCTTAGATTAACAGGTTCAGTGGTGGCAGGGAAAAAAAAGGTTAAAGGGTATCTCAAAGTAAAAAAAGATCACAGCTGAAGTCCTACATTCCTCCTAGTCCCTCTGCTTATTAGGCATCTTATATCCAGACCGTGTCTTTGTCCTTAAAGTGCTGCTCACATTAGCTAACTCAAGATGTGAATATAAATATATAAACACATATGTCTTCAAAATGTGGTTGTCTTTTCAACATTGACGAGCCTAGTAGGCCACACAGCATATCTAAGTGCTGAACTCTTATTGGAGCACAGAGCTAAAAGGGGCGGGATTTAGGAGGGGTAAGTTTCCTTTTATGGCTAGCCAAAGGCTCTTCTTTGTAACCCCCTGAAATCAGGCAGTTTCCGTTAGCCCTCATTACAGGGTGCCTACCCTATGTGTAGGAGTCGTGAATACTTCAATAGTGTTTTTTCCCCTCTAAACTTCTCTGATTGCTTCATTCAAAAAGGGGGGAAAACTATTCAGCATTTCTTAAGGTAAAAAAAGCAAAAGCTTAGAGAAAAAGCTTGAAAAGCTCCTTTTGAGGAGCATCATCTCACAAACCCCTAAGATTTATCTTCAGATCCCTGGGAGCGGTCCTGAATCCCAGTTTGGGAACAACTGGTGCAGTCCCACAACTTTCAACAGTCTAATAAAACTGAAAACGTCACAAAAAAGCTTTTTTCTAGCAATGATAGGCCTACATTTAATAAGGGAAATAAATGTTTGCAGTAAAATTCTGACTGCTTTCAAGTAGCATGAGGGAACACACAGCCAGTTAACCTAATTACTGCCTGCAAACAAAAAAGCTATTTCCCTGCTTGGATTCACTTGCTAATCACCGAGTTTAAAATAATAAAGAAAGCCTTTGAAATGAGATTACTGTTTGTAAGATGGAGATTGTTGTATTTTACCACACAGATGAACAGAGGTAAAATAAAGAATTGTGCACAGGGCCGCGATAAGCGTCTGTCATAATAAAAAAACATCAACTTCATCCACTAGAAAACAGGAAACCCAGCCCTTAATTAGATTTTACTGTATGCTCTGTGTTTGCACATCTTCCCCTACAGCCATATCTGCACAAGGTATGCAAACCATATGGCGCAGGGAAAACATCTGCTGTGATGGGAAGAAGAAGGCATCCTCCAACACTGCCAATGAAGCTGCCAAGAGAGATACTGTACTTGTGTGCATTTTTTTTCTTACACTTTCTGTTATTTAAAGCCATGCGACAGGGGATGGACTGCCCGGACAATGGAGCCATCACTGCGTGCCAGATCTCTAATCCCACACATCCACAGCTCCGACAGGACGCATCCAAGCGTCCTCAGCCTTCATGCTGAGAGTGAGTCGCTACGCTCACATTGCTCAGCGCTCTCAGTATAAGCCCGGGGGCACACTGGGGCTGGGGTTGAGGAAAAGAACTCCGCCTGCAGTTGGCAATGAGTATGAAGACGGGTAATAGGAAGGGGGCTGGGGCTGGGGGTGGAGATGGAGCCGGGGTATAGACAGAACTGGAGCAGGGTGCTGCTGGAGCTTCTGTTTGAACTGAAAGTGAAGAATGGGGCTGTAGGGCAGTGAAATCTGAAGTTACAGGTTTTAAATCAAGATGGAGGTAGAAGTAGACCGAGAAAGGCAGGCTGAACAGTCATTGGGAGTAACTAACCTGCCTTTTATGATCAGCAGTGGCAGGAGGTTTGCAAAATTTGAACTCTTATGAGAAAGAGCAGAAGGAAACAAATGTCTGAGTAGGAATGATAAAGGTAATATAATATCACCTCTTTATTAAAGCCTGTCAAATGACAGTTGTCTCTAACATTTATGCATTTTAATCTTGAAAAAGCCTGTAGACTTTGAGATGATTTTTCCCGTTGGATTGGATTTTGATGAGCTATCTCTCCCTATTGAAATCAGTGGTGAATGCCTAAGGCTACAAAATGTTTTTATTCCAATGTGATCTCTTTGTTAAATCCATAAAGCATCTATTTTAACCAGATGACTAGCATATTTATAAAATGGTGCTGATACGCGATCTGTGTATAATTTGATGACTAAATCAACAGAATATTAACCAACAACATCATAACAGAACTCATATCTAGGTGTATGTAAATGTAATGCCAGAAAACCAATAATTTCATATAAAACCTTAAAACTTAAACAGGAACATGGAGAAATAGGTCTTCCATGCTTACTAGAGCACTGGCCTCAACCCCCACTAGGGGTCACCAAAGCTTCATGGGGGGATCGCAAGGCCTTCTTGATTTTAAGGACTAATGAAAACACACCTATTAATATTATATTCCATTTCTGCCAAGAGACCCTCCTAAATGTTACACACTGGATCTTTAAGGGGCATAAGAAAACTTTAATATATATATATATATATATATATACACACACACATACACACAGTGGGGTTACAGCATATTATATATATAGCATTTCATTAATTTCTGTAAATAAATCTAAATTAAATTGAAATTTGTAATGATTATTATTTCACGATGTAAACTTGTCTGCATTAGAAAAGTATGCAGTTAAAACAACCAAAGACTTAATAGAACAATGAGAAACTTCCAGCAGTTATTGTGTTCATTTTTTGGGTTAATTGTACAGTTTATCAGTTGTTGTATTGAGTATAATATGAAATATCCATAAAATATGTTTCTTAGACAGGGGTTGTCAGGTTACTGTCAGTTTGAGAACCTGAGGCAGAATGCCATCTGGTGCCTTTATATTCGAGAGAAGGAAGATATCGCTACAGCCGATATCTCCAAAACTGCAACTCACACCAAAACAATCTAAATGGATAAATAGCTCTAGAAGAAATTTCAGTGAATTGTCCCTTTAAGTTTCATAACTTGTTGTCTTGCACTAGCATTGGCAACAAACAAACACAAAAAGCAAGCAGGTCGTTACTCTTCTCTTTAGGCGAGTTTAAATGCCGACACAACTGCTTTGTTCCTGTTGTGCCACTCTTACCTCTGACATTCAGATTCAAATCAGGCTGCTATTGTACTGGAAGGGTAAACATTTGGCTGTATAATATTTCCATGAATGCATGACTGATTGTTGAACAGCTGAGGTGAAGGAGACACTCACGTGTTTAGAGAGGTTGTCGCTCTTGCAGTCTAAATCATACCTGCAGAGAAGAGAAGAGATGACACATCAGAGCGGGGGCCGTGGTAGGCTGAAAGCAAGTCTGTGACTGAAAGGCTGCCAAAAAACAAATTAGTAGTCTATGGCAAAAGCTTCTCTCCCTCATCATCTACCATTAATGCAAGGCACTTCTCCGCTAATCACTGCAAAGAAGCTGTCCATGTTTAAAGTAGGCTTGTGATTACGGCACAGCAAATCTTCCATTTTGCAATGGTAGCAATTGTGCTTGAGTTAACATTGTCTTTTAATTTAATTGAATTAGTCGAAAATAAAATTTGAATGAAAGATACAAATGAATAAGGCAAATAACAAAAAATAACAATTAAGGAGATCTATGCCAGAACATTGAATATATTTCAGTAAAGGAATATAACATTGCAATAAGGAAAGTGGAGACAATATTTCAGTTATAGGAAACACTGAAGGTTTTAAGTTAGGATTAAACATGGTCAGAAAGGATAAATATGTATAGATAATGGATGGATGGTCAGACTGACAATGGACAATTAAAATATATATATATATATCAAAATCGATGAACCAGAGATATCATCTTCTTATTCCATGCATACAAACAACAAGAATTTTTTAAAAGTCATTTGGTAGAAATATGGCTTCCACCTGACAGCACTGCTTGGCTTACAAAATACTATGATTTAACAATCACAGCTTCTCTCCTGCTGTCATACTTGTGCACCCTTTGTAGGAGCATTCATCCAAAGCCATAAGTAACAGCCACATTGAGCAAACCATGTGATCCACTCGCCTCTCCAGAGAGCAATTTATCCAGCTTTATTTACTTCGCATAACCCGTCACCTTCCTAGGTGTCTCAGGTGTGTGTCTGTGTGTGCGGTGTGTGTGCAGCAGCATGCAGCGGAGTGTGTAAAAGGGACAGCCTGAGTGTTTCTTCCCACAAACAGCATGCCACGTATAATAAGGCGCTCACTGACAAAACTGGGAGACGCTGTGTGTCACTACGGGAGGGGGGGCAGGGGGCTCCAATACAGTGCTGTTATTAATGTAACTCCATAAGAACAAGGAAACACACTGCTGTTATGCAACATGCCGTCGGCAAATTGCACAGGTGCGCTTCATGTTCTATTCGCGCCTTGCCTCTGTCACTCCCAAATGTTCATAAATGATTAATTTAATCTTATTTAATAATGAGAGTCCCGGGAGAGAGAGAGAGAGAGAGAGAGAGAGAAAGAGAGAGAGCGAGAGAGAGAGACAGGGAGAGAGACAGACAGGGAGAGAGAAGAAAAACATGCTAATCACATATGTATGATGATTAGGCTGCACATGTTCACCCACACACACCTACAAACACACATACGAGAGTGTTTTCAGGGGTAGATGCTCCACGACGTCTCATGAGTGCACATTTACTTCATGTGCCTGAATGTGTGTGTGAGAGTGTATGTGTGAGGATGACATCACTGCATCGGCACTGGGCCAGACAGGATTTCTCTTGGTCCTGTGCTGTCTGTCTTGCGGGGTGAGCGGCTGCTCAGAGCTCCATTTGAACTGAGCAATGATGACTAATGATGGCACACAAATAAACAGGGCCGGAGAGGCAGGCGAACAACAGACAACAGCACACTGACACTTGAGCTCCATTTCTTAACAGCTTTTTCAAGCCTCTACAAAGCCTTCACACCGATTGATACAAGATGCTACAAAAAAGTTTCATTAGCACATATCCCTTGCTGTAATTGGTCCTGACAGATTATCCTGAACAGGGGTGTTTTACAAAATAATGCTGCTATAAAAGGAAGGGAATGATGCACTTCTAGTTTTTAGGCTATGTAGCTGTTTGTTTGAATCCACTCAATATGTCCCCTTGGACAAAATTAATTTAACATGATGAATATCTGCCCGAGGGATATAAAAAATGTGTGCATTGTTATTCCTGAATAGTACACAGGGATAGACGCTTTATGTTTATTGGGCAACATTAAACAGACATACATTCCAATTATTACAGCTACTACTACCCAATTACTTTTATCCACACACGATCAAAGTCGCACGCAGATCTTTACCTCCCCCTTATCAGTTTATCACATCTATCTATGGTGCCATACCATCCAGAATGGTGTGTTTATAAAACCATTGATTTCCCAAATAAAACAAACAAACAAAACAATGTAAAAACAAAAACATTTTTACATAATTTTTTCTGCATTTGTCCATCACATCACCAAAAAGCTACTTAGAGTATACATTTGAAACAAGGTATTATGGAGCCATAATTGTAGCAAAACTATTTACAAATGTAAGAGGAGAGTTGTGTGTGTAAGTGTGCGTAATCAGATTTCAGTCAGCCAACTCAAATGTTTATTAAGCAGTATAGCATATTTAGATTTTGGCGTCTAGGCTCCGACCTCATCACTCCTCACAGATATGTTTACATGGAGATATTGGGGAGTGATGCGCAGATACCTTAACCCCCAGTTGGAGCCTACAGGTGGATGCTGGGGTGGTGGTGGGGCTTACAGAGCAGCAGCAGTAATACGGATGCAGGGCAACAGCGGCATTGACAGAGCAGAGGGAGAGCTGGGAAATTGTGCAGTTTAAATAGACCGCCAGATTGGAAGGGTGCGCTTGGTTAGTGATTATGGAATAAGGCATGTCATGTGTGTATATCAGCGCAGCTCGAGTTGACTGCCTGAACTAGCTCGCAGGCTTCGCTCCATTTGTGAATGTGTACAGGAATCGGCAAATGTGTGTTCATAAATAGTGCCCCATAACGTTATTTTTCTGTTTTAATCTAAAGTAGGTTAAGAAACGATAAACAGAGCAGTCATGCTGCCGCTGACTGGTGGTATGTAGGCTGTATAGCTACTGAGGCACACACACAAATCTCTCCTCATACACACAAATTGTCACACATTTGCAGATCTGCCACGGCAAAAGTGTAACAGAAGTTATGTATTAAAAAATTGCCTGTAAGCAAATTTTGCTAATACTTACATAATTTACCTTACAAAGGTTGACACTGCAGAACTTTTACTTGTAGTTGAGTTCCTGTCTTCCTACCTGACCTGCTGGTTTGACCATTTGCCTGTCATGGCCTTGTAAGCCTTAATACTTAATATTTTTGTTAATAAATTATTGAACTGATCCTGTCTGCTGTCTGGGTTTGAGTCCTATCTTCTTGTTCTCACACCAGTTGTGACAATAGGACTCTTTTAATCATAGATCTCACTTTAATACAAAATAATAGTCAGATTTCCAACAATTCAAATGCAAATTAACCATTTGTTGTTGGAAAATGATAAGTGTGAATTAGGATTAGACTTAATTGTTTCTGATCCTGCTTAATAATTTGAGTAATTTGTCATAAATGATGACATATTTTTGTTCTGGTTGGCAGATAAACTAAAGAAAAGTATTCTCAGCCTTGTCATGCTTTATTGCTGTTTTACACTTGATTTTAGTATTAACTTCTGTTACACAAAATTATTTCAGTGTAGCGATTCCATTTTAATGTAAAACTAGAGTCTTCTGACCTCTGTAGCCACAATGTTGGCTCAGTGCTAGCCAATCTACCATATTTTAGACGCTATAAAGTACATGTACATAACAGCAACATACACTTTGTTTCCAAAAACTGATGTGTGAAAAGGAAGATTTCTTAAGGAATGCTTCCACTGGCTTCAGCGGGCATCTCAAGTGTCATTCCAAAGAAAGACAAAAGGAGCAGTGAAAATGCCGGCAGTGAGATGAGGGTTAACAGGATTTCCAGGCACAGACAGCAGCAGAAGAAGCAAAGTGTGTCGTGGCTTTGGGGTCTCCTGGTAAAGAGAGCATGGGATGGTTCAGCAACTATACTGGCAGTTTGCGGGCATCTCAGTGCTATCTGGGTGTATGGATGTCCTAAGGGATGTGAGGCGCTGAGTGGAAGTGAGGGAGGTGGAGGTAATGAGGAGCTACAGTAAAAAGACTGCCAGACATCAGGACAGAGGCTAAAGAGAGCAGCAGTAACCACTGGTTCTGTAATGAGAAATATGAGAAGTGTGTGTACATGCTTGTTACAGCTCAACATGAGTGTAAAAAATTGTGCCTGAGTAGCAAAGTGTAAATGTGTGTCTGAGCAAGTGTGTGTGTGTGTGTGTGTGTGTGTGTGAGAGAGAGAGATTTGGGGCATTTTTCTTGTTCTGAGGGCAGTATGTGTGTGTGCATGTGTGTGTGGGCTAGGGCAAGCCATGTCCTCGCTGCGAGTGATTGTAGGGCCATCAGCCCAGAGGACAGTAACGGGGTCTGATCCTCACCCACTCACAACGAGCCCTGCAGGGACTTGGCCAGGCTACACAGACACACACACACACACACACACACACACACACACACACACACACACACACACACACACACACTCCAACTTCCTCCATCTCTTCTCTCCACTGCTTGTCAACGTTTAACATCTTGCATGATACTCTGGCAAAAGTCTGCACTACATTCCTTTAGCATATGAAAGTATACATGCAGATGGTATAACACACACACTCACTCACACACACACACACACACACACACACACACACACACACACACACACACACACACCTACACACACAGACAAACTCACATATACAAAATATCACACCAATTATTCATACTTATCTTGCCAAGCGCACAGAAAGTTGAAGAGGCATGCTCACCTACACATTAATGAAAACACACACACACACACCCTTAAAAACAAATGTCCAAACACACGTATTCCCATTCATACATCCACATACACATGAAAATCTTACTATATACCCTCTATTTACAAACAAAAACCTGAACACACAGGACTAAGATGCCCAAACATACACACACGCTTTAGCTGACAAAGACTGTATATACAACTTAAATACAATGTACATACACGCACACACAAGCAGCCAACAGCTAGCGTCTCTCCTTGACCTTCACTGTAACCTCCCACAGCTTGTAAGCAGCATGTGGCCCGGCTGACAGGCCTACAAGTAAACAAACAAAAGAGCCGTTCCATATTTCATGAGCTATCATGGGAAAATACAGTGAATATGTGTGAAGCTGGAACACAATAGAGAAAAATTCATATTATCATAATCACTTGGACAGCTCGACTTTTAGGGCTACATGAGGAAATATGACTAAACTTTTAACAGCACTGTGACTCAGAATACAGGTGTATCTGATGTGGGCAAGAGAACATGTAATAATTCTATTATTAGCTATGATAAATACTTTCCTGTCATACACTAGTGCTGGGCGATATACTGGATGAACCAGTATACCGGTTTTAATTTCCTGAATGTTATGAATTTTTCATATGCCGCTTTACCAGCGTATACCTGAAACAAATGCTGAAACTTATTTGTTTCTTCTGCAATAGATTTGAATTGAGAAACATTTCTTTACCTAAATACTTGGAGTATTTTATGTCAGTGAGTTTATAGTGTTTATACAACTATTTTTAAATATTTTCTTTTTAAAGAGGAAGATATGTTAAAGTTGTTGGCATATAACTACACTGACATTTAAAAATAATATTAACATTACATTAACTAACTTGCGTTTACTGTTCATGTCTATAAGATTTAATGTTTGTGTCTTTACTAAGGGGGGAATTCACTCTGTCCAAAATGCTTGCTGCTGCTCAGATTCTTTGAGCGTTCTTCAGAGCTACATGCTGCTCTTTAGCCCTTATCCAGTGGCTCCCTGTGGCTTTGACAAAGACATTTTTTATTTTTTTTATAGGTCTAAAGTGGTTCTTACATTCATCACTTTACCCAACATTTTGTCATACATTGCATCCTGAGTCTAGAAAATGTAATCATATGTGGACATATTTGTTTGAAAATATAATATTATTGAAAATACACACTGCATATCAAGTTTACAAATGATACTACAAAATAAAATGCATGAAGGGTGAGAACATGATGGGGCCTCAAAATGAGCTCTGAGGTACCCCTGAGGTGTTTGTTGCTCGCTGTGGTAGCTGCAGAACCTCCTGTTTTAACAGAGCAGGTTCTATTTGAGCGTTAAGTTCTAAGAAAACTCTGTGCTGACCCAGAGATACCCACCGACTGCTTAAGGCAGTCAATTAAAATTGTATGATCAACTGTGTCAAAAGCCACACTAAAAGGATTAAGACCGAGCAATCTCCTGCATCTGCTGTTGAAAGGAGGTAATTTATTACTTTCATAAGGTTCTTTTTTTCACTGCATAGCATCCTTAAACAAAGATTGAAATGTATACAAAAAAATTATGATGAATGAATGAATAATAATGCTGAAAATATTTAACAAAAAACATTAACACAATTGACTAACTGGCAAAAGTCTTGATCACTTCAAATGAACTGACTTTTGCAGGATTTTAAATTGTTAGTTTGATGATCCCATTAATATGCAGGACAAACTTGTCTTTTCAATGGATACTGAGGTTGATGACCGACACTAAAAATGGATCATAATCATCACACAATTCCAAGTGTTTGATTCACTGTGTGCACCTGGGCCTATTTTGTCTCAAAGCATTGTATGGATAGGATGAATCCAAATGGAAATGCTGGTGAAAAAGTGGCATGAAAACTTGTCTTTTATTTAAAAGGGAGAAGACTTACATCTCCCTCTGCCCAGACCATGAATATTTCAGTCATAGCTCAACTTTGCTCTACACAGAGCAGCACTCTCACCCACGCTTGCACAACACACACAAATACACAAAACCAAATACACCCAAACCTACACACATAAGTCAATTGTTAACTCACAGGTCAAAGCGTAGATTCTGCCGCTCCTCAAAGAAATAGTCCAGGATGAATTTGCGGACAAAGTCGGGGTTGAGGGTGTTGTCTATGACTTCTGTCCTGCCAAACTAGAAGAGAAATGAAGAAATGTGATGTTTGATTAATGGCTGCAAGACTCATTCAACAAACTACACACCAGAGGTTTCACTAGTTAAAACAATGCTTGTGACCAGTGCATGCCAGCACCCTGTTGGACTCATACATGACTCAACCACAATTATTTGTCAACACAAATTTGTGATCTGCATGTAAGCAGTGCTTAAGAATCACTTTTCTAACTCTAACCCTGATCTGAAAGAAACATGAGGACAATTAGACCTGCTTCATTTTTGTCTCATTAAAACATTTGAACATGAATGGCCCATGAACAATACAGCATACAGTCATTACACATTTCTACACTTTCTGTGTGTGATTGTTAAGTTGCTCAGCACAAAACTAGTAAAAAAAACCCAACCAGAGTGAGTTCGAAATGTGATAAATTCAAACCAACACATTGATCCAACAAGCTTGACCTAGCGTTTCTGAGGGCAAAACAACAGCATGCTCTTATCACATACTGTAAGCTGGCTCGTACACAAGCCTCCTAGAATATGACTTGCTGAAATGCTGAATTACTGCAATTTAAGTTTCTGGAAGCATTCACTGGTTATAAATTACTCCCCCACCACCCCACCCGTGCACTCACCTCTCTCCATTCCCTGTTGGCTATTCCTTGAGTGTACAGCACACAAACTGTTGAATTAAAAACAGAGGAGGGGAGAGAAACAAGAGAGGGTTAGATTGATTGAAGAGTATTTAACAGTGAACAAACAACGCTGAGAAGTCAGCTGAGAGCGTGTTCTTTCCCCGAACCCCAACATGAGAGGAAAACTCCCTAATTAAATGTCACTAGAACTTTGCCTTGCAGCATGATGATATTTCAGAGAGGGGGAGATGAGAAAGAGAAGGGGAGGATGGGGATGTGGTGAGTGAGTGTTTGTGTGGGTGGAGGACAGTCCTCCTTATTGACATTCGAGCTTCTCCATCCGAGGGAGTCTTGGAGTGTTTTTTGATGACGGACCACTAGTGAAAACACAGCAAGGCACTCAGCTGGCACTAAAATGACATTTAATTTGCATTCTAGCAGCCTTTACTGTATTCACACACATCTGTCACATGGCAGCGACCCATAACTCTGAAAACCCCTGGGACCAGACACTGAAATCTCTTTTAACTGGTAAAATGTTCTGTATATAATGACAAAGTGAGTAGTGGAACAGTGGAAATGCTCATGTAAGACATTAATAGGCCATGATTAAATTAAAATGACCCTTTAAAATGAAAGTAAAATATGTCATTATGAGCTGTGTCATATCTTGATTTCAAAGAGATTACCTGATTAAATAAAGGTAATATATGTGTATACCTGTCTGGTAAATGGTATCTTGCTTCAGCAGTTCTTCAATTCAAGCTTTAGCCTAGTAATAATGTACAATAAGTATTTACTCTAAGGTTTACGTATCACAAAAATAAAACAAGATAGGTCACATGGTCTTTTTCAATAGACAAATGAAAAATTATTAAAGTGTAACTCCACAACCAAATTCTGCTAGCTCCCTCCCTCATAGCAAATTACAACAATGCAGCAGAGGACTGCGGGACTAACCTCGCCAGGTGGTGGACTTGCGAGATCACGAAATTACACAAGAATCCATCTTGCCTGGATTCAAGCTATGCACTTGTCTCCGAACCACAGTGATACTGGACCAATCAGCATCCTATGAGGAACTGCTATGGCATGTGCTACGGGCGCTAATGTTATACCCCAAATCCAAATGGACAATACAACATAAAACTCACATGATTAAAATCTCCATATTTCAAAAATATTTGTATTTTTATTTTGACTGAATTAGGTTTACAATAAACATAAAATATTCTGTTATAAAAAAAATAGGCTATAAAATAAAATATTAAAATAACAAAAATATAAACCACAAAATACTCAAACATGAAATCCTACACATGCAGTAGTGGGTTTATAAACATAAAAGATAAAGTACACTAACTCATAGACTAACACATTTTAATAAATTATGATTTACATATTTAATAATGTGCCACACTGACGCCTAGGTGTGTGTGTGTGAGACGACTTGTGTGAGAAGTGTTTGTTCGAAAACACTTTGGCAGCTGCTAAAGAGGTTAGTGTAGATGCTGTTAGCATTAGTTATATCAGAACTGGAGAATATTCCTTCATAGAAAGAAGAGTAAAGAACAGAACAAAGACGTTTTCACTCTTCTCCAATTTTGAAGTTCCCCCCGATAGACAATAATGGACACATATGGTTGCTGAGCTGGTGGTTACAGATGCTGTTCTGTAATCACGTTTAATTTCTACAAAAACCAAAGTGTGTCCATCATTGGCCAAGGGGTGATTATTGTATTATTGTTTGTCTTCAAATAACCAGGGACAGCCGATGGAAAGAAGTAGCTATATCTGGTTCAAAGCATTGTCTATTCTCAAACTGTCTATTAAAGAATGATTGTTGGTTTGTAATGATAACTCCTATTACATACAACATTATGTTATTACTGAATTAAATTAAATTCTGCATAACTGGTATTGACAGAAAAATGCAGTGGTGAAGGATTACATGCTGTTATGGGTTATGAAGACAGATGCTAAAACTGCACTGTCAGCGAGGCTTCCTCTGAACAACCACAAAGATAATTAAAACATATGTAAACCCAACTACCATGTCTAATTTATGGCTATTTCATACCTTTACACTGCAAACAGTAAAGAAAAAAAGAGTGTTCATGATGAACAGATGGTGACTTCTACTCTGAAAATTGAAAATATGAACTTTGACACGCTTTAGGGATGAAGACAAACATTTCCATTTTATCTACAGGACTGAGTCTCACTGAAGCCAAAAGGTGAAACTTATTTAAAATGTAGCATCAATTTAATATGTAGCGTAAAAACTCTATAAAGGTCCTATCAGCAGGGACACCCATAGAGAAAACAATCAGACACTCTATGAGCTAAATAAAAAGAATTTGTGATCTTGTGACATATGATTATGAATTAATTACAGAGAATTAGTTGTAAATATATGCCTAAGTTAATGTATGGGCTACCACTAACTCATGAAATTACACGAGTTATGTCATTTCAAGGGGAATTATTTAATCATAGATTCATTAACAGGTGAGAATGTGAAAATAATCACATATCTGATGAATTCGTGTCCCCCCCCCAAACTGACATTTCACCTTTAAGAATGAAACTCATGTTGAGCCCAGATATACCATATTATTACTAACATTTTGTAGAAAACTGATATTTTTACCCAACTCACAGAATGTCACACTGTTTTTGAGCACAAACACCGAGAACAAACACCCTAATTACGCTACGTCTGGTGCGGCAGCAGAAGTGCTCAAACTTGCCGTGTTTTGGCAGACTGTCAGTCTGGATGTTGTATATGTTGCATTGTGGATGCTGTGCAGTGAGCTTGGGCTCAGCTGGTTGAATATACAGTCATCCTTTAATCTTGCAATGAAGCATGGGATGACACATGGTCTCTGCGTTATTGTGTGACTGTGTGCGGGGGGTGATACATCAATCACATGCCTGTAAATAGCGATGCGTCCTCACCAATCCGCACCGGCACACTTTCAACTCTTCCTATTCATCAGGCTGATGAGGAAAGGGAAGGAGCTTGACAATAACACTGCTAACACCATCTCTGTTTTGAATGTAGGAGAAACCAACAATGCATAGTTTGATAATGTTCCTGTCTGCTAAATGCCCTTTTCCAATTTGCTGAACCACACTGATAAAAGCACATCCACATCCCTGCACCACAGGAACGACAGCTAAAATACACACAAACATGCCCAAAACAGAAATACTGGATTGTTGTCCAGCTTTATAAGCTAATATGAATACGGTGCATGGGCCTGCCTGAGGCCCTGGATGTGTGCACTTTTGTTTGTGTGTGTGTGTGGCTCTGCTGAGGCGGTCTAATGCTGTGTGACTGGGGCCAGTGCTGTCAGCAGAGCAGAGACATGGACGCAGCACAAGTGCCTCCTTGTATAAACGTTGGGGCGGGCAGGGATGCTCATCCTCTTCTCCCACCGTCTGACACTTAAAGGTCCAATCCGTGATTCTGGTAGCTCATCAATTATGTGTTCACACACACCAATCAACACTAAAAACACCATTGCGTTCGCTGCGCAGCACCCAGGTAGCAAAGTGCTGAATATTTGAGGAATGAAGCAAGGTGATGTTGAAAGAATGCATGTTAACCAAACCCTGGATGAATTAGAGGGTACACAAAAAAACACATATATATTTCAACTTTATCATTTCATCATAACTCAGACATAACATCAGACTATTTTTCCCCCATTATGTGTATTTTTAGAGGGCTTTTAACAGACAGGGCTGTCACTGTCTGTTACAGAAAACAAAGCAGGCAAGACAGATAAAAACAGCAACGACTACTTTACAATCTTCAAGCTTGTGTGTGCACATGTGCCTGTGTACTTGAGTATGAGAGGATCTCTTCTGGCTGGGTTTCCTTTTCAAGATACCCCAAGATAGAGTTTTGCTGCCAATAACTGAACAATACCTTTTTAAAATGTTGCTAATAATGCTGCTAATTTGAATTAATAAATATAAACCTGTCTGTCTAACATGTTAAATGCTAATTCTAAATGTCATCAAGCAGCCGTAGAGAACTTTGCATGAATACAATTGGCTACAATCAGAAATACTGATCAAACCATCTTTCACGACTACGGCCACGTGCATATTGTACTGTGGGTGGTCGGGAATGATGGGCTACGGACCGACGTCATTGTTCGACCTGACAGCATCACCAATGAAAGGGTATGTATGTCATGTTTTATGAATATGATGTGAGTCCACCTCACTTTGCGTCTATTTCCGTCCCAGTTGGTAGAAAGAGGTCAAGTTTCTGGCCGATCAGCAAACATTTGTGTGAAGAGGGTGAGAGCGCACCCACAGGTGTGATTATACATTAAATGCCAGATTTTGCTACTGTTGTTTTTGATATGCAGTGTGAGTGTACTACAGTCTGTATCAAAAAATGATTAAGGTTTGATACCCAGTCCTTGTGTTTACATGTTAGCAAAACACAAAACCATTCTCTAAATGAGATCACAAGGAAAAACATCTTCAGTCCGACACTTTACGTTTCTCTATCCAGGCAGATTGCTGTTGGAAAGCAGACTGGGCCTTTAAAAACCACCGGACCAATTGCCAAATTGAACCCCTGCTGCCAAGGGAGTGAGGAGTGTGTATGTGTGAATGTGTGTGTGTGTGTGTGTGTGAGCGTCCTTTAATCTGTAGGAGGGAAGTGGCTGGTTTGTGTGTGAGGATGATCTGGTTCCCCTCACTCACGTTGGGAGCAGAGAACAGTGACGAATACGACCTCTGACATATGCAAATGTCTACTGATTCACACAGGCGAGGCAGAGCGTGTGTACGTGTGTATGAGTGCTTGCGTGTCCATGTGTAGTGCATGCAAGCCTCTGTTTGTACAGTTAAAATCTGCCTGCATGTGGTGGATGTTTGTCAGTATTTCTGTTTGTCTGCAGAATTTAATGTGCACGTGTCTAGTGTGTGTGTGTGTGTGTGTGTGTTTGGGAGCTGTCGTGTGTTTGATGGGAGATGAGCTTACTTGGATCAGACTTGGAGAACGTGTCTCTGTCCAGCAGGTTTCTGAAAAACAAGAAAACAAAGAGACACGATGACATAAAAAATAATTGCACAACTCTCCCACTTCAACAAAGAAAGTGGAACTAGAAAGTTATTACATCACTAAACCTCGCCTAATTAGCTCCCTCACTGACCCCGACAACGTGTTTAACCATAATCCTCCTCTGACTTGATTAACAAAAGCCATTTCATCCAGTCATTGAGGCAGCAAGATTAAACAGACTATAAAACTGAGCTTAAAGTGGAGCCCATTTATATTTCAAACATACAGAGAAAACAGCAGAAGAGAGGACCTATTTTTCACTTTTTTGCTCTCCCTGGGTGCCAGCAACAACAGAGGAAGCTGACATCAAATTTACATGACACACCGGTCATTGCTCTTTGCAGGGGGAGGGATAAATGTACCGAAGAGTCCCATCACAGAGCAGATGCTCGGCACTACTGAGGTACTCCACGGTTAAACAGCTCTGAAGAAATGAAATATGTACACAAAGACGACAAGTCACAGCTGCCTGAGACCCAAGAAGAAAGAAATCGAGGAGCAGCTCAGGCTCAGGAAAGGGAAACCCGGCCTGTTACGTCAGTGGTGGGTCTTATTGTGGTTTTAACTGTGTGTCATACACTTACAGTGTCCATGTCTTGGGAGGGGTTAGCTAGGAGGACAGGGACGAGGCTGACAAACCCCAAAGGGGATGAAGTGAACCCTTCACTCACTCGCTCACTCAGCTTCTACTCCTGCCAAATCTTACATTAAAACCCCATAAAGCTTTCATAGAGCTAACCCAGAAAGACTAAATAATATAAGTGCATTGGCCATCAGTAGGGACACACATTACCCCAAAAACTACAGTTGTCGAGCCGGTCAAAGTAGTTTATACCACATCAAAAGGTAATAAAGGAATCAAATGTACAACTATACTCTGTTAAAATTACATGTTAAGACTGAGAAGAAGATTTTCAGTGGACACAATCATGGGAAAACCCCTTAGCATTTAATCCAGTCCATTACAACACAACCACAACTACAGCTTAAAAAAGTTAAAGTAAATGGCCAGAGCTGTTGCATTGGATTGTGTTACATTTTTACAGGTGTGCCGTCTGCGTCTATCCTAGTATGTCTGTTTACATTACACAAGTGGTTTTTAAGTTTGTCCTACAGTCAGGGTACTAGTAAAAGACAATTAGAAAATAACCAGATATTTCCTCCTGTAAGCTTCTTTCTCCAAAAGAAACGTAGCTACCACATTACCCATTCATAAAAACATGCATTTGTATAATGCATGTTTTCATGAAGGCATGTTTATGAGGGTTTTCTTGTGAACACTTCCAGTTCTTCTTGCAGCTGTCAGGTGATCAATATAAAATGAAGTGTTTAGATAAATGCAAAAACACTCAAGATCAAAACAAAAAATATCTTGACAAAACCAACGATTAACATACCTCTGACTCAAAAATGAGCACTTATTAATATAGCAACGGCAGCGCATGTAGATGCAACAGCCTGTAACTCCTTCAAACTTCACTACATGTTTGTTTTAATCAGTTATTTTCTTTGCCTTTATTGCTGAAACTTCACTGAATGATGTCTGATTAGATTTTTGACTTTTGACTGTTTGTCCTAATGTAAAAGATGAAGTGATATTATCATCACTATCTTGTTGCTGCTGTTTACATTCCTCAAGACGCAAATTAAATTTCAAAAATGCACTGCAGAATGATTTCCTGGGTGTATCTGTGTATGCATATACTGTATGCATATACATAACTATATATTGTTTTATTTGATTTTTGATCTATTTTATATATTAGTCCTTTTATCTGAATTTGTTATGTGCTATGTGTGCATACCGTGACGTAATTACAACTTTCATTTTTTTGAGCATCCTCATGTCCTACAATGACAAATAAATTACCTTGAACCTTGAACGTGTGTCTCCTCTCCAAGCCTACACAATGTGATTTTGATTCTTAAAAGGGAGATCTGGTGTAGAGCTTTACTTTAAGCTGCAATAATAGCAGGAGCATGACTTCCTCCATATTGTGCTCTGCTGACAGAGAAAGGGAGAGACAAAGGGGGCTCCTGCTATCATGCTAGCTGCGGGGCGAGCGTTCTGTCGCCTGTCCTGTCCTGTATGACAAGCAGCGAGTGTCTTGAAGCCGTTGATGGCTAGTGATGTATCTAGCTCAGGCACTTGTGTTGTGCTGATCCCAGTGTGGTCCAGATGGTAAAACGCCACGCTCTGCTGCCTCGCTTTCAAGGCACGCCCACCGGCTTTTCCCCGGCTTTGAGACCTTAAATAAATGATAATAAGCGATGGAATAGGGCCTAGTCATATCAGGGCTGTGTTTATGACTGGCGGAAAGTCTGAGAGATTGTGCAGGAGTGAGAAGTGGCCGACTTCACCTGCCAAATGGGATAAACGTCCAATAAGAAGCAATACTGTACTCTGTTGGCTCCCAGAGGAGTATGAGTGGAGGCAGGGAACGAGATCCAGTAGAGGAAAGAAGAAGAAAAAAAGAGGACTGTACGAAAGACAGGATACAACTGTTTGTGTGTGAGTTCTGACAAAACTGCACACAATTATATGGATATGGTAACCTCCCTCTGATTTATGTGCACCCTAGGGCTTCCACCTGGCCCTGATAGAGAAGGGCGACTCTTTTAAAAAGCCCTTTCCACCGCGGGCAGCCTGGGAAACGTCTGGGAGGTCCGAGAAGAGTGCCTCGTCGTTCATCAAACATTTACGAGAGCGGTCCCTCCTCGACACCAGAATTACATTTGAAATCCCACCAGTTACATCACAGCCACCTAAACATGGCAGCTGGAGCTTTAAATACCTGTATGTGAGGACGGAGGGGACTTCCATCGAGAGCAATTGAGATGTGAAACAAGATGTGTTCTTAAAAAAAGGGAACATTGCATTGCCTCAGAGGTTTGTAACTAGACATACAAAAAGGATCAAATAGGACTTTATCACAACAGGAGTGTGAGTGTGGACTTATTACTTGTTTTTAAATGGTGTGTTTTTATTTTTGACATTTTTTATTTGTTTTTAATCTAGGAGGGGTCTTATGATATTGTATTCAAAGTTTTGAGACCCATTACTTGAGTATCAAATGTTCCTAGGCTGGAAGCTGTAAGAAAATCCTTAATACAGCCTTAAAATATTTAAAAAGCTTGTTGTGAAACGTGGTCCATGTATATGTGCAACTTGAGACGATTCTGTTTCTAACAAAAAAATTACACTGAAAAAGCATTATTTTATATTGATGTGTTAATGTGAGCAGAGCTTAAAATACATTCTTGTAAGTCTTATATTATTGACTACAGTCATGTAAAGTGTCAGTGATCAGCCTTCAGTTTCAATTAATATCCATACAATGTGAAAATGGTTACAACTAAAATTGTATACGTTTAAAAATCCATTTACTGTCATTCTGTGCTTTCAACCATATAGACACAGAATACTTTTGAGTTTTTACTTCTAGATTTTTTATATTGTGCAAAATCATTAGAAACCAGTTGAAGCCAAAATGGTAAATATGAATTCTGGATCATGACTTGAGAATGAGCTTGCTGTAGTGCAAGGCAGTAAATAATCTAACATCTGTTGTCATTTAAAGCTGCACTAATCAGTATTTTTGTATTAACAATGTGTTGCTGAGACAGCATTTGGCTAAAACAGGTTTTCATCACTAAATTTGATCATATACCTATAGTGAGCATATCAAACCCTAACTCTGAAAAAACCATCAACAATTTCCACAAATATTTTCAACCATTCATCTTCCTCCAACCGACCTTAACAAATGTTATGAAATGGAAGTTACTGCCAACATTGGTGCGTGGCTGGCTAGCATTGAAAGTATTAACCCCTGGCAGTGTTTGTGCCAGCCTCCCCTCACCAGACTCCACAGGAGCACAACTAGCAAGGCAAACTTCTCAGCAAGTAAACATCTCCTTCTTGCTTCCTGAATTCCTGAAGTCCACATTGCAGCGTGGGCGGTCACTCCCATCGCATAACCTCACGTAAGTCCACTAGCTTGACATTTAGCCCTCTATGTGCAGGTTTGCTTACTGTTAGTGCAGTAGCAGCTGTCTGTGGACGTATAAACTAGCTAATAAAGAGGTCCCCTCGGTGAAGGCGCAATAATAAACAGCACAAGCTCGTCCTGTTGGGAGAAGAACAGCAGATCAATAAGGTCAATTGAGTCTGAAGACAACTCTGAGCTGTTTTCATCAATCCACCTTTGAAGCACCTGAGACACTATCTTAACTCTCAACGATTTTCTTAGATTCTCAGTGTGTGTTTATATGTGTGCTCAGGGGAAAGCGATGTGCATCCGATAATGAACTGGAGGAATCCCACTTCACTGGAGAAAGACACAACATCAACAGTCCACGTACATTTGAGAACAGAATAATTAGACTGTTAGAGCAATTTTGGAACAACAGTTTTCTACAACATGACTGTGGGAGTCTCTCTTACTGTATCATTTAACACTGTATCATTTAACACTGCTTCATCTGACCTATCAATACGCATCAGCGTCATCCTCCCCCATTGTGACCACCAACCTTTACAGAGTCACAGTTTGAGCTTTCCGGCACCATTCTCTATTTCCTATTTCTAGTTTAGTGAAATCCATTAACTTACATCTTTCTGACATTGTCATCTACATACCTCCAGTGCACTGCTTATGCTAATCTAAAGCCTGCATGATTTACAATACAACTTGAACTTTGTCTCTTCTAAGCTCTGAAACCATGGACTACTAAAGTTACACTACAACCCAGCAGTATGGATAAAATCCACTATCATAGTATATCTAACTTTATATTGAGATACTAATGATATTGCGATTTTCTAAATTATCCAAAAATTCAATTCAGTTTCTGGATAAAATAACCAGACTGGAATAATTGTTTTGAGCTAATCCAAAAAAATAAATACCTGACAATCCAAGGCACTTTTCATCATATTGATGCAAAAATAACAAAA